AAAGGTTATTTTGGTAATGTGGTTCGCGGTTCACATTTCCCTTCCCCGGGCAAAGACGAAAGACGCTTTTGAGTTGGACAACATGTTTCCCCATCTTTCATACAAATCATACATGAGATGCAAATAACGGGACAACTTGTTGCCAAGGATATTTCCTATTTTCGTGTTGCCAAACATGGCTATTTATAAATCCGGATACCGCTTTCCCAGGGATGCAAAAATTATCCCAGTACCAAACAGCCCCTAAGAGTTTTTTTTTTTTTTTTGGTGACAGTAAAGCGGGACATTGACCCATTGCCTATTTACAATTATTTATCTCAGTTAATTTTTTTCAAAATATCATGTCACAAACTTGCTATACACGAGTCTTATTTAGACACGTGACAATGTCACCTAGATCACAAATCTTGGTGAGTAGTGTAGCAAGATATGTAATCAAAGTGGCAGACTCGTACATCTAAAAAAGTTTGTCCACTTGGCTAAACTCGTTAGGCTACTGGCCGAGATTAGGTGGAGCTTTTTTCACATGTCACACATACATATATTTATTGGGTGTACAATTGCACCAAACTCGTCTAGCAGCCTAGTGAGATACACAAAGGTACTACGTGTCACACATACATACATCTATTGGGTGTATAGTTGCACCAATCTCGACCAGCAGCCTAGTGAGATACGCAAGGATACTGCGTGTCACACATACATACATCTAGGGTAACCCGCTAAAAATGAACCGAGTTGAGTTGGAATAAATGAGCTGGCGACCCGAGCCAACCTGGACAAAAACGAGCCAGCTCACGGGTCAAACAGGCCTTATTCTCACTTTCTTTCATCGTCCTCTCTCTTCAACAATTTCTCGGATTCCTTTTTTTTTTGCTCGTCTTCGCTGCTACCCAGTTTCCTACCCATTCTTTCTTTTCTTTATATTTTGGTTTTCTTTCTCCAGACGTATGATGCTTACTGTTTTATGGTTGGTGTTTAGGAATACCAATGTAATTTTTATTTTTTTTCGTAATCATATGTTGCTTCAGCATATGGATCTAGAATTCTAGATATCTGGTTTTTCTTCCCTAGAACATTACAATTTGCTTACGCTGCCTCTACGTCTGGAATGGCGATCTCTTGGCAGGTTGCAGGTGCCTGCTTTCAATAAAATGCACTTCATGATTCACACACTGGTTGGCATTGTCTTAATGCGATTTTTTCGCTTTGGAGTTTGGATAGTTCTCAGATTCAACCCGCCGACAATATTTTGAGCTAACACGCGAGCTTTTTGTGAGCCAACCCGCGAGCTTTTTTCCGAGTCAACCTGCGAGCTTTTTTCCGAGCCAACCCGTGAGTCAACCCTAATCCGGCTCGGGTCGGGCTAGGTTGTGTTTTGGGCTCATTTTTTTTCGAGCCAACTCTAACCCGACTCGTTTTTTCGGGTTGAATACGAGTTGGGTCGGGTCGGGTCGAGCCGGGTTGGCCCATTTTTCCAACCCTACATACATCTATTGCATGTACAGTTGCACCAAACTCGGCCAGCAGCCTAGTGAGATACACAAGGGTACTGACACGTGGAAAAAGCTCCATCTAATCTCGGCCAGCAACCTAACAAATTTAGCCAAGTGGACAGATTTTTTCAGATGTGCCACTTTGATTGCTTATCTCGCTACACTGCTCACTGATATTTGTGGTCTGCAAGACACTGCCACGTGTCTAAATAAAACTCACTATTAATGTAGCGAGTTTGTGATGTGGCACTTAATTTTTTTTGACCAAATCATGATATTATGATAAATAATTGCAAATATTGTGCCAAATGAATAAATATCCCCAAGTAAAGCGGTAAGAGTTAATAAACAAATGATCGAGGATATTGAATCAAAATTCTTAGAAATATAAATTATACTTACCTTGTTAGATAGGTTTAAATTACACAGGTTTTTTAATTATATTTTGTTATTGTAGAGATTTGTTTTTATTGTCTTAATGCAAACGAATCTTTTGATTATAATAAATAATTATGAACGAGTCTTGCAAAATAATCCTTTTTTTCTGTATAAAATTAAATAGAATTTTGAACACCCATATAATCAATTTTAGAATTTCATCCAAAAACTTTCTTTATGTTTTGAAATTTCAAAGTCAAATTAAAAAAAAATGATTATACGTACCCACAGGTCTAATTCATATCAAAATAAATTAAAATGTAACATATATTAATATCTAACAAATATAATATTTTGAAATAATGAAAACAAAAATGTAATTTAAATATTCGTGATTTAGAAAACCGGAAGGAACGGTATTGTTTTAAATTACAACTTCGATTCATTAAAAATAAAAATAAAAATACACAGCAACACCAACTTCAATTCAACAAAACAATTACGCGAAGGAGCAACGTATCTGAATAATGATGAATGAGGGCAGTCAAAGTCAGACTTTGCCACCAAAACTCCAACTGCAAACAATCAATCAATTAATGAACGTTGAACAACTAAACAGCAAAACAGGGAATGGAACGAATGGTACCCCAAAAGGAGGCTTCAAACAAAAACCTCACAACTCTAATCTATACTTTCAATTAAAAAAAACTCACAATTCTTTTTTTTTTTTGGAGTTATCCAACCCTAATTATCTCTTTGAGGCGAGTTGGCTTCCTCCGGTATCCCCACAAGCTTCAACTCTTTGAACCGGCTATGGAACTAATCCGGAGTGAGGAGGTTGATGACTAAAGGTTCAGCCCTACGTTGGCAACTCTTTGAAATCATTGTCAACGTAGCAAACTGAACAATACATGCGTAATTCCCGGGATTCTACCTACTTATCCGACTTTTACAAGTTTACTTCGTGAGATTTTCCCATCAAAACACAACACAATATCATGTGATTTGGTATGTGTTTTTATAAATAAGAGTTAATATTTTTATTTAAAACTATTGTGTTATAAGTAATAACAATAATTGAAAAAAAAAATTAAACCATGTGGCACTGTAATGAAAAATACAGCTTTCTGGAAAAAGAAGTTAAATACAGCTTTTAAATATTATAGCTAATGATATTGTTTATGACAAAAAAAAAACTATTATTAATGAGTTAAGTCAGCCCGATCATAAGAAATAGGTTTAATGTTATATCGTGACCAAATTTTTAAAAAAATTGAGCCTATGTATATTTCTACAAATGAAGTTCCCATTTAATCAATTACCAATTAAGGGAGATTCAATCATATTTAAAATTTCAACAAAGCATTTGAAAAATAAAATAAAAAAGGCAATGAAGCATGAATTGATGGAGGATCCGTTATTGCCTAAACATACCACGCGTAGTCTAGGTGTTTCGATATTTTTTTTATGAATTTTAGTTTCATTTTTAAATCGTGAGTATCGTGCGTTTCATGCATTGGTTTAAACCAAGCTAGAATATAAATTAAAAAAAAGAATGTATTAAAAATTTAAAAATATGTAATTAGATTAAAAGCATTTAAGTTTAAAAACAAAATATATCATTCCTTAAAAAAGAATAAAATATGCTTTTCTTTAAACAAGAATATGATAAAAACTGTAAGAGTACTTCAATTTATTAGATAAGTGTTGAAATTGATTTTTATCATAAAGTAAATTAAAGAAAAATATGAAATTGATTTTCTCTATTTCTTAATTTACGAGAGCGATAAAAGCCCTGGAACGACACTAATCATTCATTACTTAGTTTGATGTGAATGATTGAGTATTTTGCAAGAAAGCTCGAGTAAGCTGTGTGACTTATCTGGCTCACTAACTTGGTCAATAATGTTATTAATATTTTTTATTTTGAATCTTAAAATTATGATTTAATTAGTAAAAAGTATAAAATTTTCTTCTTCCTTTTTTCTTTTCTTTTCAAATTACTATTTAAAGTTTTGTAAACGGAAATTTAAACACGCTATAAGTCTCGCACGGATTACAGCTTATTTTTTTTATATCAACTAACATTTTCGATTGTAAAAATATTAAATAGTCAAAACAATTTTATCATAATTTTTATCAAAATGTTAATATTACTTTTTACCATTAAATGAAGAAATTATTTACGTTACTTTTATTTATTTATCAACCATAATTAAATCTTAACAATTTATAAACGAGAATTCTTTCTATTTTAGTAAAGGAAAAAGTTTCTTTTAAGTAAAATAATCTATAAAGTTACCATTTTAACAAGAGAGACTTATCTGTGATTTTTGAACTGATTGAGTAAATTTCAAGTAATTAAATTAAATATTTATTAGGTACTAAAAAATAGATAATTATTGCAGATAATTGATATCAAATCAAACTACATTAAAATGGTATATCAAATGGTTTAAAAATAGGAACACACATTAGCTTGTCCGTCTTAATGATATATAAAAACTGATAATCTAGAAACTTCCATATCAGCTGGCTTTAGATATTATATTCTATAATATAATCCATTTTATTATATCTTGTTGGGTTTCTTTTTTCTTAAGTAACCATACATTATCCTTTTTTTTTGTTAACTATATGTTGCTGGATTTAATCATTACTTCATAATAAGCAAAATATTACATGCAGCCTCATTTGGTAAAAATTTTCCACCATGGAATGGAAGGAAAAAATAACTTGATTCAGGTAAGATAGATAATGGAAATGTCTGAACAAAATAACAGAAAAAAGATTATTATTATTATTGTTAGGAAATATGTCTGATTAAAAGAGATGATAATGGTAGACAGAGTCAGGTCATGACATAACATAACTTGCTGGGTGCTGCAACCTTATTGGTACGAGTCAAATGGATATCGCACACGGGAAAAGCAAATGCCATTTGGTAATGGGGACCAAGTGGGTGCATTTAATTTATTAGTATTATTCTTCTTAAACTTCTCCATACCAGAATTACTTTAATTATTAAAAATTTATAATGTTTTGGTATTTTTTTAATAATTAATTGTGCTGCCTAACTTTTTCCCTTGCTTCATGAACTAGATTTAATGAAGCTTTGGAGTCCGGATACAACACAGAGAGAGAGAGAGACAAGAGAGAGAAAGAGATGATGAAGGTGTAAGACCTTGTTGGTAAGAGGATGTTGGCATTCTGACCTAAAGCTTCTGTCTTTCTGCTTCATTGTGTCTCTCTGCTGCACATAAAATGTATCTCTTTCTGATTCTTCTGTAGATTTCATCTCTGAAACTAGTGCTAATACTTCAGCTACAGATCTCTCCATTCTGGGTATGCTTATCTCTCAAATCTAAAGTCTTCTCATATTTTTGCCCCCCTTTTTGGTTTCATTTTCCATTCAAACAATCTGTGTAGGTTTTCTTCAAATCTGGGGTCTTTTTCCAACTGGGTTTCTGTTGAAAATGCTGGTAAAAAAGTTAATGGATTTTCAGCTTTTCAAATCTATCTTTCAAGATTTTGGAAGGAAAATGGTGGGCATAGTAGTGGAGCAATTCTTGTTCCAGTGTTTATGGGAGTCAAATCTTAAACGAGATTGTGGATTTGAAATTCTGGAGTTTTAATGACTTATTTTCTAACATTTTCTTTTGCTTTGCAGATAAAGGATGGCTTTTGATCCAGCTTGGAAGTTTTGATCAACTTGGATTAACTCCCAAGTTTTAAGAGTAGTCTCTTTTAATCCCTCCCTTTTCTTCTGGTCCTTCGAGATTTCGGTATTAATAGCCAAAAGCAAAGAAAAAATTTGAAAGTGTTTCTTTTTCTGTTACCTGCAAAATTAGCTGGTGAGTTGATGATAGGCTTTGCCTTTGCCATTATTATTGTAAATAATTAATTTTGTTTGCATAATAAAGCGTTTCGCATAGAATCCAATTGATATTTATAGAATAACAAAGCTATGGCATATTTTTTGGATAGAAACAAAATGATGGCATTTTTACTTCTATAATTGCTACATCTCATCATGGTTAATGCTATTTTGAGCTATCCTTCCTGATGGTGGGTGATGACTAGATATCTAGTCTTGATGCGCTCGTTCCTTCTGGCATTTCATTATCTGCTGTGGAATCCCATTGACTTAAATTGTTGTAAATACCTCTTGCATTTGATTCATGGCTATGGATGCTTAAATAGGAGAGTCTGAAAACGTTGAGAAATATCAGATGATGTCTAATTTGGGTCATAATCTTCAGATGAAGAATAATAACTTTATTTCAACAGCAATAATAAAAGATTACATGGCTGTTAAGCTGAAACTCTCCTTGTATGGCAGCCATATGCTCACAGTGGTTGGATATAGTCCTTCAGAAGATCACAGAAGAGATCAATCCATAATTATTCTTGGGATCCACTTGCAGAATGTCTTTCCGCAGCATAGTTCGTGATGTTAGGGATGGTTTTGGCAGCTTATCTAGGCGTAGTTTTGATGTCAGACTGACTGGCCACCTTAGAGGAAAATCTCATGGGTCAGTACAGGATTTGCACGACCAGCCTCTAGTAATTCAAAATAGTCGCTGGGCGAGCTTACCCCCAGAATTACTATTTGATGTCATTAGACGGCTAGAGGAGAGTGAGAGTACATGGCCTGCTCGAAAGCATGTTGTTGCATGTGCTGCTGTTTGCCAGTCTTGGAGGAATATGTGCAAGGAAATTGTTAAGAGCCCGGAGTTATGTGGCAAACTTACATTCCCTGTGTCCCTGAAGCAGGTTAGCTTCATTGCTTCTGCAGCTGATTGTCTCGTTTTTAATTAACTAGTCTATTACTTTTATGTGGAGATAACAATAATAGTTGATATGGTGGGCTGAAGCAACACCCTGATCTTTTACTCCTTTAACTTTTCAGCCTGGGCCACGTGATGGCATCATTCAATGCTTTATCAAAAGAGATAAATCTAATTTAACATACCACCTATTCCTTTGTCTCAGCCCAGGTAAACTTTCTTATAATACTACTTGTTATCGCTTGGGTTCATACTGTTTTATGTTCAGATGCTTCTGGTACGATTGTGTAGATTTGTTCTGATGTAATGTTTCAAACAGTTCGGGTCGTTGAAGTTACATATTTTGACTTTTGGCTTGATCTTGACGTGCTATAGTAGCACATGAATATTCATGCATTTGTAGATTGTGGCTGCCTGTGTGTGCATGTTTGCATGGATACATGATTCGAGATCTATGGGATGACATTTTCAATGCTGTAATTTTCGCTGAAGTAATTACTAGTGTTAAGAGGATAGTTTGGAAATGGTCTTTATAGGTTGAGTTTCTGTCCACATTTTCTCATTCTTTGTTCAAACCAGTGTTCGTTCATTGCTCTGAGCATGAAAATCACGTAGTTCCTTAATGGTAGGTTTCCCTCTGTTTATTTATTTCCCTTTATAATGGATACTAGGAGTCTAGAACATCTTATTTGATAACCATTTACATTTAGTTGGGGACAAGCTTTAACATGCTTTTTGTCATGTTGTTAATTCCCTCGTGTTTATTTATTTCCCTCAATGATTGATACTATGAGTCTAGGATCATCTTATTTGATAACCATTTAGTTGCGGGAAGCCTTTACATGTTTTTTGTCGTTTTATATGAATTTCCCCGTGTTCATTTATTTCCCTTTGTGGCTGACACTAGGAGTCTAGGATCATCCTATTTGATAATTATTTAGTTGGGGACAAGCCTTAACATGTTTTTTGTCGTTTTATATGAATTCCACCGTGCTTATTTATTTCCCTTTATGATTTATACGAGGAGTCTAGGATCTGTCTTTATATTATATAGTAAGCGGGAATTGATCAGAGTCTGATATTTACTGCTATGCCCGAGTGCATGCTGAATTCATTTCATTTTTCCCTTTTCTTTTTTACTTGTACTTTTGCAGCTTTGTTAGTTGAAAATGGAAAATTCCTCCTTTCTGCTAAGAGAACACGGAGAACAACTTACACAGAGTATGTTATTTCCATGAATGCTGACAACATCTCTAGATCAAGTAACACCTACATCGGAAAGCTGAGGTGAGTTTACTGCTTGCAGGTGTTTGACATCCTCAATTTAATCTATCTTTCACTATATTAAAGAAACTTTTTTTTTTTATGTCTACAAAACAAACTGTTAAAACTACTACGACATAAGCTGAGGTGAAAATGCATTCCAAATCCTATAAGTATAACAGCAGAATTCGTGATCTTGCTATATGTGGACTTCAGTTGGTGGCAGTTGTAAACTTTTTTGACCTTAATATATTTTAGGTATACATAAATATTAATTGCCCAAAATAAGATCATTATCCTTTTTTTGATCTATATTTAAGGTAATAGTTTAGGTTCCCATTCCATCATTAATTTTTCACTTATGCCTTGCAGATTTATCTAGTGTGCTTTTCAAGGCTTTGAGCCCATTCACTAAGTATTTAATGTTCAATTTTATATCTTTTTCTTCTCTCTTATGAAATTTTCTTTTACTTTTATACACCAGATCAAACTTTCTTGGTACGAAATTCATTATATATGATACACAGCCTCCATACTCTTCTGCCCATATATGCCCTCCTGGGACTGGGAAGACGAGCCGCAGATTTTATTCCAAAAAGGTCTCGCCTAAGGTCCCATCTGGGAGTTACAACATAGCTCAGGTAACATATGAATTAAATGTGCTTGGGACTCGAGGCCCAAGGAAGATGCACTGCATTATGCATTCAATACCAGCTTCAGCACTTGATGCGGGTGGCACTGTTCCTGGCCAGCCAGAGCTTCTTCCCCGTTCCCTGGAGGACTCATTTCGGAGCATCTCATTTTCAAAGTCTCTAGATCATTCTATCGAGTTCAGCAGTTCACGATTTTCTGAGATTGGGGGATCCTGTAATGAGGATGATGATGGCAAGATGAGACCCTTTGTTCTGAAAAACAAGCCTCCAAGATGGCATGAACAATTACAGTGTTGGTGCCTTAATTTCCGGGGACGTGTAACAGTTGCATCTGTTAAGAACTTTCAGTTGATTGCTGCCACCCAACCAGCTGCTGGTGCACCCACGCCATCTCAACCGGCTCCACCCGAGCATGACAAGATTATTCTGCAGTTTGGCAAAGTTGGTAAAGACATGTTCACCATGGATTATCGGTATCCTTTATCTGCATTCCAAGCTTTTGCAATATGCTTGAGCAGCTTTGACACCAAGTTGGCTTGTGAATAGATTAAATTATGAAGCAGAAATCTTTTTAAGTGGGCAAATCAAACGGTGATGATGGTATCTTTCCCTTTATTTTTCTCTCTTTTTCCTATTCTTATTACCAGTGTCATGGGAATAGGCAATTGTTGTTACTCAGCTGTTGTATGACTAAATTGTAACCGTAGTGCATCCCTGATGATGTAATAGGGTTTAGAGCATTTTTAACTTCAAATGTTGCTATGTTTCTTTCTCAGTTGATTCAAGCGTATCAACGCAATGTTATCTTTTCCACCAACAAACTATCATTTAACAGATTTTAGGTTCTGCTGCCTTCTGCATTGTCTAGTAGTACCTGTTTGATAATTGAGAGGTACTTATTATTTGTGTCCCGTGCTGCTGCTTGTGCTTATATCTTACGAGGTTGGCACTGAATAGATTGATGTTATAATTGTTTAGGTATCATGAAAAACAATGATGCTTACGGAAAATTATGAAATGAAGTTGGGCATGGGTTGTCTGGTAAATGGACCCATGCCAATTGGTGATAAATTTCATTTGTTTCTTTAAGACGTGTCTTTCTTTGTTAAGATGAGTTGAACAAATTTTTACATGCTAGTCAGTCTCAGCAGGCTTCTTGACTGGAAAATGAAATTTAAAAAAACCTTGTTTGAATTATGAATCTGGTAATGGTCATTTGGCAAAATATTGATTCTAATGGTTTGATTCTTAGTAAATCTTAATACCTATTGATTTTTGTTCTCGTTTATTAACCTTGAAAGATGGACAAACTATTAAAGTACATCATATGTGGAAAATGCTGTTGACTGTATATTACGGCAAATTCAACTAGAATAACAATAGAGTCAAACAATTATTAGCCCCCAATAAAATGAAATTTAAAATTATGTCAATGTTTTTGCCATGACAATGAATATATACTAGTAGAATCAAAAGTGAGATGTCAGAGAACGACCACAAAATTGAGACTACTCAAATTTTACTTAGATTTATTATTATTATTATTTTTTTATAAAAAGCAAGATTATTTTTACTAAAACCATATCTTACATTTTCAAATTAAAAAAATCATACAAATTAAATAAAATAAATTTAACTTAAGCCTGCTACCCCAGAAGTTAATGCTGTAGAATAAGACTACAACAAAAAAATGAACAACTTACAAAGAGATAAGACCCAATTTTCTCCCTTTTTAAAAATTTGCATGATACCGAGAAAATTATCCATTGCATTCTACACTTTTACTATTATTATTATTATTTTTTTTAACGAAAAAAAAGTTTTAATTATTTTGTAGACATTATTATTTTTAATTTTCTCTTCGTTACTTTTTCTTGCTCCAATTGGCAGGACAATGATTTTTTTGCCACGAGTGGCAAAATTATTTACCAGACTACCATGTGAACAGTAAAAATTTCTGGAATGCCACGCGGCATAATTCGTTACATTGTGCAGCGAAATATGTTTGCAAATAATTTACTACACAGTGTAGCGAATTATGCCATGTCAGGCTGCACAATCAACAAAAATACACGTATCAAGCAGACAGTAATTCGCTACATTGTGTAGCAAATTATGCTTGTATTGCTGCCTGCTTGACACGTGTCATTTTTGCTGACTGGGCATAATTCGCTACACTGTGTAGCGAATTATTTGCAAACATCTTTCGCTGCACAGTGTAACGAATTATGCCGCGTGACATTCCAGAAATTTTTACTGTTCGCGTGACCGTCTGGTAAATAATTTGGCCAGGCGTGACAAAATAATCACTGTTCTCCGATTGGTGTCAACCCAAGCAAGGGCTTGCGACAAATAATTGAGTATAATATTTCGTATATTACCCGGCAACATTATATATCGACTTCTTAAATTTTCATTCTGGTCAAATATTTCGGAGGAGCTGACATATGTCAGCCAGAACAAGAAAATCGATGAAATTTTTTCGTAAAAAATATTGATTTGGAAATTTAGCTTAAAAGACGTGAGAAAGAAGTAAAGCCTTTTTTTTTTTTTGGTAACAAGTCAAACAAGAAAGATTACAAGTAAATGACAATTCTGCTTTTCTCTTTGGATAATGATGCATTGTTAAACAACGAAGCAAGGGGAAAGAATAGTTTATCCTTATGGCTTTTTTGAATTTTTTGGACCGTCTAATACATGCATATGAATAATAATGTGTATAGAATTGTTCCGTGTTCGTAATATGGACCTAGTTAAGTATAGTTAAGATCTCTGACCAGATAAAATTAGTGGGCTTAACATGAGTAGGCATTCTCGAAATCCTTGTTAGGAGCTCGGAAGATGGCCTTAGCCCACATTGTAGCCCACGTCTTAATGGCACATGTGAATCTTATCACGATCTTTAAGAATGGTACTATTAATAACTACCCATAATAATTATAACCGTTAGCCATAGCATATATAAGGAGGTAAAACCCATTAATACAGACAGATCATACACGAGAGTAAGAGATTAATCCATTAATGTTCGTCCAGAACAAGAATAAAGAAGAGAAATAAACGGTGAGCGTAAATTGATGCAGCAGAGATAGACCTTAGACAGTGGCAAAACAATGGAAAGAATAGAATTGAGTTTCAGCAGAAAATTCTTTGAATTCCAATTGTCAGTTTACAATATTTTGTCTAAAAGTTCATAAGCCTACGGAACTAAACAACTTTGTAAACATTAACACTTAACTTCTAACCGATATTGTATTTGGCATCTATTGAACAGTTTTTAACACTCTGCAGTGTTGTTTTCAATAATTTCACTGTTGTGGAAGTCTTTGTGTCAACCTGAATTCTTAACAAAACAGCTCTGGGAAAGACCACATAATGAACTTGACAAAAATGTCACACTCCAAGAATTCAATATGAGCAGCCCGTCCAATGAGTGTGTTAAAGCTCTTGCCGTACGATGAGGTTTCAAAGTTAATGTCACAACGCATGACCACACGATGGTCAGAGTGTGTTCGAATTTGGTCCAAGCAATTATTCAACATCTCCAAGAAGACTTTCCCTTGTTTAGAAAAATCCGAAGCAGCTGCTGGACACAGTTCTACTCTGGCAGAATGGTATGGAACATAACCATCCTGACACATAATGAGAGAAAGAGAGCCAATAAGCATGATGATCAAGCTTTAGAAATAAAAGGAACACATAGCTAGACGTTTATTAATGTAACCCTTTTTAATCATTCAGGTTATGCAGAAGATCATCTTTGGAAACAGCCTAATACTTTTAAATATACCTTGCATCGAACTCAAAAACTCATAAATATCATCTGAGGTTTTAAATTAAACACAAGCATATTTATGCCTCAAATGCACAGTACCTTTATCATGAATCGATAAAATGACACTTGAAGTAAAGCAGATGAAGTTTCCTCCAACCAGCATGGTTTCATTATTATTAGTATAAATCCTACAAATGTAATCTTACTACCTAGTACATTTCCTTTATTTATTTTTCTCTTCTTGATACATAAGTTTCAATTTTATAATCTTTTCACTCTTTAGGAAATGATAGAGTAGATGAAAGCAAGATATTGTAAAACAAGCTATACAAGGGAAAAAAAGGTTCTGTTAATGTAGGACTTACAAGCTATGCTAATTAATTCCCATCATAAGCATGTAAACACTGGCGGAGCCAAATCAAAAGTTTAGGTGGTACCAAATTTTTTTAACATATCAAATTATCAAGATATTTATCGTAATTATACAAATTAATAAAAAAAAAATTATTATGAATTCTAGCATAGTTATTTAAATTATGTATTAAATAATATCACATAACATTGAAAATTCAAATGAACAATCGTTAATGATTATGGGTTCGCTTTTTCTGCAGTCATTGTAGATAAGTTATCTGCAGTAAGCCCAATACGACGTCGTTTTGGGACGAAAATCATGGTGTTTTTGTAATTTTATTTTATTCTAGAATTATTATAGTCTTTATAATTATAATTTTTAATTTTTCAATCCCAAAACGACGTTATTTTGAGAGTAAATGCAGATAACTTATATGCATTAAGTCCAGAAATATTTTTTTGAATGATTATATATCAAAGCAAACATATAAAAAGGCACTAACATTTTGGGTAAGCATTTCAAACATAAGAATTTCACTTTCCTCCCATAACATGATAAGTAATGAACCAAGCATTGTCAGAAGGATATGAAAACACTCAAATATAATACTTTTCTATAAATTTCACTTTATAATTGAGATATTAACTATAAATTAAAGCATACAGACAACATTTAGAGTCAAAGAGATTCTCCTTCATTATACTTTTCTATTTACACAAAATATGTTTTTGTTTGATTCTTCCATCTTTTCATTTCATAAGCCATTGCTATTTCAATCGAAGTCTCGCAGAGCTAGCAAGTTGTGCAACAAGTCAGATGAAAAAAGGAGCAAGAGAGAGAAATCTGATTGCAATTGTAAGTCACAAATTAGGACTTTGAAAATAATTTTAATTTACGGGTCAGGTACAAAGATTTGGGTATTGAGTTTTATTTTTTTGATTGAAAAACATAAATATAATTACATTTATTTAGGTGGTGCCAAATTATTAATTTAATCTTTGTTAATTATAATTAATTATATATTTACATATAATAAATAATTTTTTTTAAAACCAAGCAGGTGCCAAGCACCTGCTGGCATAGGAGAGGCTCCGCCACTGCATGTAAAGGAAGTTACCTGAGGTGAGGATAAAAGAATCACATTCCTGAAGTTTTCCAGTGTCTTCTTCTGCAGTACAAGACAAAAAGTATTTCACTTTGGCAGCCAAAGATTTACAAAAATAGCACTTATAGTTATTTCTCTATGTTCCTTATTAATTTACACCAACAAAATTGAACAGAAATCTTCAAGGTGAATACCCCTTCTGCTGCCACTTCTCTACTAGTTACCCCCATTCCAAACCCCAAACAACCCCATAAATTCGAGAGTAGGGACTGGAGAGATAGTGAGCAAGAACTAGAAAAGGGGTTACGGGTGGGGCAACCTGTAAATAAGAGCAAGGTAATATACCTTCGAGAGATTGTAGATGAAGGTGTTCTCAAGATCATGATCATCTGTAAAAGTTAGTTGATGGATGCATTGTGTGCCCTTAATCTTTTTCAAGAGCCACAACCCTGAATTGAATATAGAGTTCGAACTATACATATAACCCAAGTGCGGACCAGATATAGAAACATATGTATACAAGTATCTTAGATATGGCTCCATGATGCTTTCTGAAATTATAAGAAAAAAAAGCACATTATTTTCCCAGTTAAATTTTGATGAGTACCGTCCTTCGAAATTTTGTACGAAAATACCTGCTAAAGCAGCTCTGATAATTAGATTCCCAATAGAATGGCCAACGAAGCTAAGCTTGATATCTTTTAAGTTTCCACTTCTTGAAGCTTTATCCATCTTCTTTTTCAGGAAAGAGATCACTTCCTCGGCAAGCCGTAATCCCATATCTCTGAAATCTCCTGATGTTTTTTCTTCGTTTGTCTGTGACATAAGAACCTGTATTTTGGGGTCTATCAAAAGCCATTGGTTCCGAACAAGCCGTAAATCTAAATGATGTCCCTGTTAATGTTTGAGTGACAAGGGGTGTAGTTAGTCAAATGATCCAGACAACACAATAACAAACATTAAACAAGGAATTTCATTAACATGACATCTATATGTAATAACTAATGAAAAGGCAAAAGAATATCAGAATAAATCTGGCTAGTGTAAAAAGTAAAAGTCAAGATCATCAAAGCAAATTGCATTAATTAGGAAAAAAAGAAGCTATATTCCATGTCTGCACATTTCTCTTTGAATGCGAGTTCCACATTGTCTATTACTTGTGAGTTAGAAAACTGGGGATTGATTTAATATATGCTTGAAGTACGACAAACCAATGTCTACCATTATTTTCAGGGATTGCTGCTTCATTTTTCAAAAAAATTAACAAGAAATCTGGCAAGAATAGCCAAAAGAGATTAAGGAGATAAAAGCAACTGCAAGAATGTGGAGCATGCCTGAAACCCATGAACAAAAACAACTACTCTCAAAACGTGCACATTTCGTTGTTGGCTATTTCCAGACTTGTTTATTGCTCCAGGTCCATTTTCCAGCATATATCTTGTTTTCTCCTCCAAAGGAATGAAGTATGACTTCACACTGGCAGAACGGTACATGTTTTCCAAGCGTTCTACAATAATAATAGGAATGCGCAAAGGATCTCCAAATATATACATGTCTTGAAGTGACCGATTGTTGATCTGCATGGAATTCATGTGTCAAAAAATCCGCTCAGCAGAAAAAGGAAAGATTATAACAAACATTCCATATGTAAACATGACTTACCTTCATTTGTGCTATACCTTGCCTATGAAGTTCGGCTCGCATTATTGCAGTGTGAACAGGCTGAAAAAAAGGAAAAAGAGATAACAGAATTGAAGAATTCATTAAGCAGATCCATATGAAGTCAATATTATGATTAGTTCTACACTTCGAAGGCAAATAATGAAGTTTGAGTCTTATATAGTTTATACTAGATAATTACATCATCATTTAATCTCCTTGTACTTAATGATCTTCCACGAATGCCACGGTACAATGATGTCCCCTCAACTCCATTGCTCATGTACTGATGAGGCAACTCAACCTTTGAGTACACCATCCATATTGACCATTCAGTTCTTCGATCACTAGCCCATGAGTTACGTAGAAACTCCAGTATCTTTGTTTTATTTTCCCTGGATGAAATGACAAGAATAAGAAGGAAGAGAAAAACAATGTCATTGACAAGAGTCACAAGACTGAATGCTAAAATATCATGCTTAAAGATTTTAAACTGAGTTCTTTTTTTCTCATTAGCTACATAACAGTCCAGCTTTGCCTTCATATCACCGGCAGATGCTAACTTGCTAAGAGCACATGTTTACCAAAAACCAGCCTCATTTGGAATAAGCTAAATTCCACCTAACATGTGGAAAAATAAACACAGAAAAGATCCTTTTCCAGATGGCATAATGATCATAATGGATGCAAAGACATTTTACCATAAATTTATTGAAAAAAGGAGCTATTAGCATCTCTACAGTTGCCAAACTCATATAATTACTCCAAAAAATAAATTTGAACATACCTGTGGAATTTCAGAAATGTATTCCAGAGATATAAGAGCTGATTCCCAATAGACTGGAAATAGTTTAACATATCATCCCAAGAAAAAGATTGAAATGATTCCTCAGTAAGACGATTGGTATAATGAGAAGCTTTCTGCAGTAGGTAATAAAAAAGTATTACATGAGAAATAAGTCTAAAACATAAAGAAGACAGAGCAGATAATGAAGCATTCACGTTGCCAGAATTAAGAACCTCAGCATTGACTTGTGGCCCATCAGACTGTTTAAGTAACGCTTCACCATCAATACTTTTCATGTGTGCTGGTGAAGTAGAATTGAATGACTTGGTAGCATCTGGTTTAAAAGTAATTCCAGTCAAATCAATAGCTTGGTTAATTCCTTTGCTTATTCTTCTCAGGTCTTCAAGCAGAGTATCATGGGCAGCCATCAATGCTTTGATGAGCACAACCTGACATAAAAGTAAGATACAACAGTAAGCAAATATATATCTAGATAAAATTCATAAGAAATTAGGAATCTCAAACAATAATGTAAATAACAATTTTACAATGTCAACTTAAACACCTTAATGAAACAAGAAGCATAGCTAGAATTTATAAAAGATTTACTGTAATAGAGCATACCCTGTTTGATCCAATATGGTCTTCACCATAAGTTCCTTCAGAAACTGGAGAATCACTGGTACAGTTAAACCAACATTATTTAAAACAGAATAGTATGTAACAAAAGTAAAAGAAACAGACATAATTTATGGCAATGCAACGGTTGCTAGGGTATCTATTTAAACCATAAAACATGAATTCTGACAAACCTGGGTACCTTCAGTTGGGGTGTGCGATGACCAGGTTTTAGTAGACTGATATGAACAGTTGTATCAACAAGGACAGCATGGAAAGCATCAAAATGGACAGGACAATATGAATGCAATCCCAGAAGAGCTTTAGGAGGGATTCTATACTCATGAACTGAAGCTGCACATGCTTCCAGCGAGCTTTCTAACTCAGGCCTGCACATTGATGTAAACAGTTTAAGAGGTCACCCCTAATAATAATCATCTTATCATCATCATTACTAACTCCAGTTCAATCAGTATCCTTGCATACAAATTTCACTTGTTTAATACACCGAGGATAGGAGGAAGAACGTCCTTAACTAACCCAATTTCAGATGTTGGAGTGTGCAAGAGCTCAAACTTCAAGATAACAGCAGAGGATTTCTCCTATAACCAAAAAAATATTAGCAAAGATATTTATGACCTAGAAGAAAAAACAAGGCAGAACTACTGGGTGGCACGTGCACACCAAGATGTCAGTAAGCCACTAAAGATTTGCACTTTTAAATAGGGATTAATGTTTCTCATGTTGTAGGAGATAATTTTATCTCCTATATACACATAAAAGTGTGTGGGGGCCATGTGAAGAGAAGAAACATTAATCCCTTTTAAATATTATCAGAAAGAAAGGAGAGAAGGTACAAGTGAGATGAGGAGGATAAAAGATCCTCCAAAAAGAAATGAAAAGAAAACATCAATCCTAAGTGGCTCAAGAATGCAACAAAGCCGGACAATTTCTTTCCATATCAGTAATAGAAATTCCCTTAAAAAAACACGATCCCATGAAGACAATCATATCCAATAGTGAATATAAGGGCAAAGAGACACCCTTGAAAATATGGCCTTCCTCTACAACCAAATGCAGCAGAGAATTCTATGGCATCCATGTTTACATCTTAACATATTTGGTTCTGACAGAAGGGTTTTCTCTTTCACAACTATACAGCTTATTGCTTCTGCCATCAACATATTGAGCGATAGGAGAAAGGTGGTAGTGTCAAATATCGAGGTAAATAGTCAAAATTTGATGTCAGGTGACCTTCATCTAGGTACAGAGCCTTGGATCAACAACTTTAGAGAGATCACCACGCATAATTAGTCAATCCATATTTATATATTGAATTTGACACAATCATAACATAATAATTAATTAAGGCTTGTTTGCTGCCAAAGGTCATGTATGTCTGTGATCTTTGTCTCATTCTCTCTTTTTTTTCCAGTAGTTCTTTTCCACAACTTTTTATTAAAGTTTTCTTTATATTGTATGGAACCAGGGAATTTCTATCTCTTTCAAGAATTTTAAAATTGATTCTCATGATGTCTAAAGAATTTTATGTCTGGTACTTTTCAGAGACCTTGTTTTGTTAGCCATACAGGAATCTTCAAAAAGTCATATGCTGCCTCAAAATTGCCTTGCTTATGATAAGCCTGTTCTTTAACATTGTTTTGTACTCGACCTAGTTAGTTTGTTACATAAAAAAGAACACCCTCATTTGCCTACATAAATTATAGGTTATACAAAAAAATAATGAAAGAAGAGAGAGAGAAACTGACCTCAAATCCACCAAAAGATAGATAGAATGAGATCATGATAGAAAGAAATACATCCTGCCTGGCATATCTAATCTGGAATGGCGGTGTTGAAAAACTGTTGTCCGCATTATCAATCATCCAAACTCTACATAAATTGTCAGCACCCACTTCAGGAGCTGCAGCTCAAAGAAAAGATGGATTCAAAGATTTTATGCAATCTAAAAATCAAATATTATGCGAGACAGCAAACTAACTGGGAAAAAAAAAAAGGAATTACTCAGCATATCAAGCATGATAGTTCCAAACAGTAGCCATAAAGAATTTGAGAAAATATCTGAGTCTAGACTATTATGAGGTTTAATACAGAAAAATACACAGGCGCTGAAACCCCATTAAACTTTTGTTTAGCATGCTGGCATCCTTGTCAGTTGCTGAAACTTATTCAAGGTAACACTAAACAACTTCGGAAAACTCATTCTAGAAATAAAAAGAATAAGAATATTATTTTCTCAATGGTTACATAAAAATAATGAGAAGCTCAAACACTATTTGGTCATATAGTGAAAATAAAAATAAAACATAGAATGGCAGAAAAATAAGGACAGAAGTTCTGTTCTATATTCCCTGAGCTGAAAATGGACATAAACAAAAATTTAATGTTCATTTGATACAAGTTTTTCTTCTAAGACCTAAAATTTGAAACTTCTTTCCTTTGATTTCACATTTCATTTTTTCCAAACTATATGAATGAGACACATATTTACAAGAGATTCACATCTTAAACCTCATTCGGCAAGATAAATAGATTAGTAAACTCATAACAACTTATTACTTGAAATCAAGATAAACCACCTTGAAATATAAACAGTAGGTTTCATGTAAGAAAATGCTTGTGGGAAAATCCCTCCGACACACAAAGAAACAAGCCCTTGACAATACATGATGCACCAAAAATTGGTTTAGAAATATCCATGCGTGCTTGCGTTATTTTGGACTTTTTAGGCTTATTCCACAGATTAGGGCATTTTAGTCACTATACGTTATTTTATCTTTCCGTTATTTCTTTGATTATGTTTTGACAGTACATTGATTTCGCGTTATCTCCTTTGATTGTGCATAACTGCCCCCTTTGATTTTATTTTGTTCCACTCTTTCAATTTAGACAATGAGTTACTGCGTCGATATTAATACATGCACAAGATCTCAGAACCAAAATTTGTGTACCAATAAACAAAATTAGCTTATTGCAGCAACCTAAGTCAAACTACGGAGAATAGATGCAATGATAACACTACAAAATATTAGGATTTAGGGACATATTTCACCTTCATACTGAACAACCCTTGCAGGAATCCCGGGATAAGAGTCTTCACCGTCCTCCCACCTCATGGTAACCTTGATTCTGTACCATCTGCACAACAAGAATAAGAATAAAAGATCAGAAGAAAAACAAAAAAGTAAAAAAAAAAAAAAAGGTATAAATTAAAACTTACCCTTGTTCAAAAAGGTCGAGATTATGAAACCTATGAATATAAATGGCAACTTCGTGAACAGCATCGAACACAGGCAGGTGGTGATTTGGCCTAGCAGAGCCAGGTTGGTCAACATTAAGCAACCTTTTGGTTGACCAATTCTCTTGATTCAGACCCACAAGCCATCCTAATCTCCGAAACATATGTAGTGCTAGTAGACACAGTAATACTCAATTCCCAAATGATCATTCCTTAGCATTACAATGGAAGTTGAGCAAAAACCCCACAAGTCCTGAACCAAAAAGGAACCAACTTTCTCACCCCCCCCACCTCACATTTGTTTCCACCCAAACCGAACTTTACATGAAAAATGCTTGAAAATTTCAAGCATGAAAAGACATTTGCAACGTAGGTCTGGGGTGAGGCGATTGATTGGTTGGAGTTAGAAAAAGTTGGGACGAAAATGGAAAAGGAGAATGAAGTGTAGCCGTGGAAAAACAAGAACGAAGACATAACAGTTCCTTTATTTTATTTTTTTGATTATTTATAATAATTAAGGGTTATGTTTATCTCATTTTACATGAGATAAACATCTCTCCCACACACACAAAAAGGGGTTGGGTCCCAACACTTTTTTTTTCTCTCTCCTCTTACATGTGGGTTCCACTTATACTTTTGTTTCTACAACATAAGGTAATTCTTTTCCTACAACATAATAAAAATATATCCCAATAATTAATTAATTGATATACCTTGTTGGCAGTGGCACAGGCACAGCACAAAAGAGCATCATTTTTTGTCAACCCTTTCTGTGTCGCAGGTGATGATGTTAATGATGGTGTTTTTTAATCCCAAAAAAGATCAAAACAAGCAACTTTGAAAATGGCACCAGGGCATGTTGTCGTGTCGGTGAAAACATACATTTTCTTTTTAGGTCACATCATCATTTACAATTACAACTATGTAGATCGAAAATCACGGGCCCTCTGTTCTGAATTTGTTCGTTCTTATCTAAAAGGATTTTTTTTTTTTTTTTTTGCTTTTCTTTTTTATTTTTTAATAATGGGAAAAATGGTCGGTTGCAATATTATTGAGTCTTCTCTCTTTTTTTTATTTATACCTAAATTTTATAATTTCAACAAATTCACCTTAATATTTTTTAGTAAAATAAACAGCCTTTGACAACTTAAACTCAAATAATTCAATTTATTTACACCGCTACTTTAAACTTATAAAACTCGTGAATTTAAAAAAATCGTAATCATAAACAAATAAATAGTTGCTTGTTTACTCAAAAAAATCTTAAATTAATAGTTTAAGATCAAACCCTTCTATTTGTGGAATTATATTTCCTTTAGTTTAAGTGAAATTCTTATTAAAAAATAAATGCATGCCAAACAGAACATGATGTTTGAAATAAAAAATTGAATCATGTGACATCACAAATTTTAAAATGATAATTGAGATTGTAAAGTGAATTAAACCTAAAATGTACAAGAATTTCTGTCAATTTACAAAAAGTCCTTTTGAAGAATCAAGGTCAGTTAAAGGCTTGTTTGTTTGTGTTTTTCAAGAAAAAATGTTTTTAAAAATTTATAATTATGTTTAAAACTTTATAATAATTTGGTATTTTTCTAAACGTAAGAACCTATTATTTTTATGGAATTAATTTTTTTTTTCTAAAAAACTGCCATGTAATAAAAAGCTTTGTTTTTTTCTCTCTTTCAAAGATTAACAAACCATTCTAAAATGGTTCCAGTCAGGCGAGCATGTTGGATTGGGCTTCTTTTTAATTTTGGCCTGTTCAGGTAATTAAGTCGGTTATGTTGGGTTGGCTTTCTTTTCAATTTTGGCCCGTTAAGTACAACCCTTAGTTTGTGTGTGTGAGTTCATTGAAGAAATGGAAACAAAATGACTGCAAGTACTATTCGGTTTGATTGTGGGAATCTGATTTGATTAGAAATTGATGAGCTCGACATATTGTTTCGTATGGAAAATGTGTATATTTTAAGAGGGAGGATATTCTCACTACCAAAATTTTCCAGTACCAACTTACTATCTATCTAATTATCATTGGATCAAAGAGAGAATGCTAAAAAGTTTTTGAAAAGAGAGAAAATGTTAATCCAATGATGATTAGATAGGTAGTAAGTTGGTAGTGAAAATTTTTGGTAGTCAGTATATCCCTCCTCATATTTTAATTCGTGCAAAAGGTTTATAGATTTATATTTTACAGTTGCTCCATTATTTTTATAAATAGGTTAATTGTAAATTTTATAAATCTAAGTGTATTTTGGTAAAAATTAAGCTTGCCAGGTTAATTGATGGTAAGACTAAATCTAGCTTATGTGCTAGTCATGGACTCAAAATTGGGTCCTGACAAATTTGAGCTTGTCACCCTTTTAAACCTAGTAGACCTTATACTAGTTACTTCACAAGTCTAATCATTTTTCATGAGGACATTTCCTCCCTCTAAGGGTTGAATACCCAAAAACAAAAATATCTTATGTGTCATATGGAAGATAGGAGCCTTCACTTCCTTGTGCAAAGTTTTACAGAAACCAAAAAAGAGGCATAGAGTGCAAAAATAAAGTGCGAGTCTAATTGTATTTCATATCACCTATACAGTATCTTGAAGGTTCCTATTATATAGGAAAGATACAAAATAATTGACTCCCGTAAATTACGCGAGGGAGAGAATGAAAAACAGAAAAAGTGAGAGCAACTAAAATAACAACTAATAGAAGAATAAAAAATACAATGGAATTGTGTATATATGTTAATACCCCCCTCAAGATGGAGAGTCGATATTTATAACTCCCATCTTGGAAAGAAGAAAATTGAATTGTGTTGGATGAAGGACTTTGGTGAATAAGTCTGCAAGTTGGTTGGAGGAGTCATGAAAAGTCTACAATCAACCTTTTGAGATGTGCTCCCTGATTAGATGACAATTGATTTCGATACGTTTTGTACGCTCATGGAAGACGGGGTTGGCAGCAATGTTAAGAGCAGCCTGGTTATCACCCAAGAGGTGTGCAGGGGAAGAGTGAGCAATGTGAAAATCATGCAGCAAAGAGAGAATCCAAATTATTTCACAAGTGGAATTGGCCATGGATCTATATTCGGCTTCTGCAGAGGACCTTGAGACAATGGATTGTTTCTTGGACTTCCAAGAGATAGGAGAATGACCAACAAAAGCACAAAAGCCAGAGATGGAGCGACGAGTATCATGACAACTAGCCCAATTAGAATAAAAAAAACATTAAGCTGAAGTGCAGAATCAGAGGAGAGGAGAATGCCTTGACCAACCATATGCTTCAGGTAAGCTAGAACATAATGTGCAGCCTGCAAGTGAGGAACTCGAGGAGCAGATAAGAATTGACTGAGGCGGTTGGCAGCAAAGGATAAATCCGGTCGAGTTAAAGATAAGTAAATTAGTCTGCCAATAAGTCGCCAAAATGGAGTAGGGTCTTGTAGCAATTCACTGGTATGCTGGGAAAGAGGCAGCGAGTTTGGTTCCATCAGAGTAGATTTGGGCGTGTATCCTGAGAGGCTTGTGTCATGAAGGTTATAAAGAACAAGGAAGCACGGACACTTGTAAAAACAGGGAGAGTCGTGTCCGACACGCTCTGACACGGCGACACGTTCCGACACGGTGTCGGACACGCGATCAACTTTTTCCGACACGTTGACCATTCTGACACGCGAATTTGATCGTGTCCGACACGGTCAAAAGGCATTTTCGTAATTTTTTTTAATTTTTTTTTAAAAAATTATTTTAAAAAAAATTAAAATATATTAATAAAGCTTCTTTCTGATCATATCAATTTTATTTTTTTGTCTTTTCTCCCTTTAAGTAGATAAGTGATCATCTCAGCATCATTGTTGTCAATTCCTATCACACTCTTGTTATATCTTCTTGTCTCTGATCTCTCTCTAATATGATTTGATCTCTCTATCTGATATTATATCTCTTTCTCATCCCAGTTCTTATTTTTTTATTAAAGCTTCCATCTTTATAACGTGTTGATGGGTATTTTTAATTTAGTTTCATTTTTTTGTTAAATTATTAAATATTAAATGAAATATACACTATATAAATTAAAAATATTATTTAATATTAAAATGTGTCTCAACGTGTCGAACTCCATAAATTTTTAGGATTGACGTGTGGGAGTGTCGTGTCGTGTCGTGTCACGTGTCGTATCGGTGCTACATAGATAAAGAATGTACCTTTCAAGACTGCCATCAACATTGCATTTAACACAGTAAACCTATTTACAACCAATTGAGGTTTTGCTAGGGGGTAGGGAAACAATGTCCCAGGTTTTGTTCTGCTCAAGGGAAAAAATTCCATGCTGCATAGCAGTACACCACTCAGGTAATTGGGAAGCATGGGAATTAATAGAAGGTTCATAGTGTGTGGATAAAGTATTGATAAAAGCCAAATGAGCAGGAGATAAACGATGATAAGATAGGGAGTTGGACATGGAATGGGATCTGGTGACTGTCCTGAAGGTATTTAGGAGGATGAGAAGTTCTGGATGGTCGAGAGGGGATAGCAGCAGTGGTGATTTGAGTTGGAAGGGACATGACAAGAACATAATTGAGAGGAGTGGAAGAGATAAGAGATGAAGCAAAAAGGAAAACACATTCAAAGAAAACCACATCTCTGGAGATGAATACACGATTAGAGCTGAGGTCTAGGAGCTTGTAACCAGGTGGATAACCAAGGAAGACTGTAGGTAAGGCCCGAGGAGAGAACTTGTGTCTAGTGCGGGTAAGTGTGGAAGCATAACAAAGGTAACCAAAAGTACGAAGGTGAGAGTAGTTGGGGGATTGTTTGTAAAGGAAAGTGAAAGGAGTATTGTTGGACAAGACATAGAAAGGGGTACGATTGATGAGATAAACAGAGGTTAAAACACATTCTTGCCAATAGGGAAGGGGAAGATGAGATTGAAAATGGAGAGCACAAGCAACATTAAGGATGTGCTGGTGTTTGCGTTCAACCAAAGAATTTTGTTTTGGTCTGTCGACACAAGAGTGAAACAGAGCAATCCCCTTAGAAGAAAAGAAAGGAATATTGAATTCAGGAGCATTATCACAACGAACAGACTTGATGGATATGTGAAATTGAGTGGAAATTGAATTATAAAAAGTAGTGAAAATTGATGAGAAGTCAGATTTGTGTTTAAGGAAAAATATCCATGTTAAGTGTGCAATCATCAACCAATGTAAGGAAAAAACGATATCCATCAGTAGAGATAGGGGTGAATGGCCCCCAAATGTCACAATGAATTAGATCAAAGGGTTGGGGAGATAGTTTTGGATTTAACAGAAATGGTAGACGTTTTTGTTTAGCTAAATGACAAACAATACAATGCAAATTATCAGACAAGGAACTCAAATGTAAACAATCTTTCATTGATGATAAAACTGGTAAAGACAGATGACCTAGTCTAGAGTGCCATAAGGCAACATTTTTTGGAATTACAGAAAAACAAAGGGGTGGGGGACATGGTTTGTGGGGAGAAGAGCAGCAGAATCAAGGATGTATAAATCACAGACTAGGCTAGCAATCCTAATCATTTTTCTCGAGAGACGTTCCTGAAGAAAATAATGAAAAGACACAAAATGAGCAACAATGCCAGTATGGTGAGTGAGAGCTCTAATACTAAGAAGGTTAAAGGAAAAAGCAAGAACATATAAAACATCAGTAACAGTTAGACAATCAGAAAGAATGCAAGAACCCTTGGAAGTCATCGGAACAACCGTGCCATTGGGAAGAGACACGGTGGATTCAGAAACAGAAAGAGGATATGCTGACGATAAAGGAGCACATGAGACGTGATGAGTGGCCCCAGTGTCCAGAACCCAACAAGAAGAAGGTAAAGTAGAAGGGAACTCACCACTGAAGCTGGCAACGGTGGGGTTGATGTCAATCTTAGGGGAAGTTGGTTGAGAAGGAAGAGAAGGAGAGTTAGTGTTCGAAGAGATAAGGGTGAGGAGCTGTTGGTATTGTTGTGGTGTGTAGGTTGGGAAAGGCGAAGGTGAATCAAAAATAACGGAAACATCAGCGTTTGAGTGGGGGGCCATATTGGGCTTGGCAGGTTTGGGCTTATACCCTGGTGGGTATCCATGCAACTTGAAACATTTGTCCTTTGTGTGGCCCATGGTATTACAGTGAGTGTAAAATGGGCGCTGATGGCGTGGGGCTGCTCCAGTAGCAGCGGCAACAGATGGTAGGGCAACGATTGATGGCAGCATAGCAACATCGGGAACAACTGAAACAGATGATGTAATTTCCCTCTGACGTTCTTCTTGTAATACCAAGGAAAAAACCTTGGACAAAGAGGGAAGGGGATCCACGAGAAAGATCTGAGCCCGAATTGAGGAAAAAGAATCATTTAAACCCAAAAGAATCAGATTTGACAGTATTTTCTTTCCAATCACTGCTCTGATACCATTTTACAGATACGAAACCAAAAATGAGACATAGAGTGCAAAAATAAAGTGCAAGTCTAATTGTATTTCATATCACCTATACAGTATCTTGAAGGTTCCTATTATATAGGAAAGATACAAAATAAACGACTCTCGTAAATTGCGCAAGGGAGAGAATGAAAAACAGAAAAAGTGAGAGCAGCTAAAATAACAACTAGCAGAAGAATAAAAAAATACAATGGAATTGTGTATATTGTTAATACAAAGCATTAAGGAGGATTAAGCTGGGTTCTCTTCTAATTTTTTTTTCATTGATATTAGTGATAGTGTATATATATGACAGTTATATTCAGTTATTAGTTATAACTGATTTGTATTACTTATCATTACTGTTACAGTTAGCTAGCTTAGTTCTAGAAGTGAAGATACACCACTATAAATGTATCAATGTGTAATACATTCTTTTCAAGATTCAATTCATAATTCACAAGATATTCAGCTATCTTCTTTTCTTTCTTTGTGATACCTTTCAATTAGCTAAGCGAATTGTAATCTTCTTTAATTCATCAAGGTTTTTTTGTCCAAGTTATATTATACGGACCAACTTCTTTAATTCATCACTAAAATAATTTTGATCATCTAATCCAAATAATTAAAATTACAATTGGTTATAACCTAATTAAAATTGGAAAGCTACACCCTAAACAAATATAAATCTATAACCGTGTAGTTACCCACACATCACATGTGCCAATCTTAATTGAATTGGAAATTGTATACCAACTGAAGTAATCAAGCCAACCCCAATCAATGAGAAACGGATAGGTAGAACATGGCATATGAATGCGGCCACTCGATCCGGATCAGGTTTTGGAGCTATAGCTAGGTAGTTAGTTGATTCAAAAAACTCCACAAAACAAGTTACAACTTGACGTGGACGTACATGAAAAAAGAAGAAATAATAATAAATAACATTGATGGAGGTTCTTATTTTGTGCTACTCCTACCTTTTGCATAACTGCAAGAAATGGAAGGCTTGATTGAAGAGGGGGGAAAAGTGAGATACCTTTGGCACACGAAAAAACTTTGATGTGCACACATAAACAGCTAGCTCACACTTGCACCGATACAAGATATAACACGACACCTCGATACGTTAAATATAAAAAATGTCAGATTTTTACATATTACGTTTTGATATTAAACAGTATTTTTAATTTATGTAGTGTATATTATATTTAATATTTAATAATTTAACAAAAAATGAGCTAAACTTATAATACCCACCAATTTTACAAGGTAACATAAGATATCACAAATATTTATATTAAACTCAACAAAATAATAATAATAATAATCCAACAAATCTAATAGTTAGAACTAAAAACGCAACGCAATATAGCCTTTGAACCCTTTTTGAGTCTCTGCTATTAGGGGTGTTCATCAACCGATTCAAACCGCGGTGACCGAACTGAAAAATTGAAAACCAAATTTACCAAAAATTGAAAAATCGAAAATCGAAAAAAAAACCCGCAAAATTTAATTGGATTGGATCCATTTTTAGATTGGTGGGTGAAAACTGATTCAATCCAAACCGATCCAATGATTCCTCAACCTTACTATCTACCTACTTGGGCCTTTCCCAATCATAGCCCAAAAATCATATAGCAAAATTCTAAATCCAAGACCCATTAACTCATCATGTTGGAGAAAGTGGGTTGTATTTGATCTATGTTATACTTTTTTGTTTTTGATAAGATACATAATATACTTTTATTATATGAGTTATTGTTGTACAACATCTCATCTATAGGATGAAAATTTGGATTACTTAGTATTTCATCAACCATATTATAAATTTTTTGTTAGAAGTAAAAGATGGTAATTCAATTTTTTGTTGTACAATGCTTTTACTAGATTGCACAATAATCATCATACAAACTTTACAAAGTCGATATATAAAAAGATATATTATTTGCACAATAATCATCACACAAATACTAGGCTTTTCAAAAAATCGAAAACCGATCCAATCCAAACCAAATAAAATTAGATTGAATGGGATCAGATTTGAAAAATAATTCAAACCGAATGGATGATTACATAATTAAACCGAAAGGATTGAATCAGATGATTTTTGCTTCCAAAACCGATCTAATCCAAACAATAAACACCCTATTTGCTGTGCATGTTGGAGTGTCAAGAAATATCGGACACAACACGTCAAATTTTTTGAAGGTTGGATGCATGATATGATAGGCTCACACTACGAGACAATGGAATAACAAAACGAAAGAGAAAGTGTGTCACATACGAAGAGATGAGAGAGGTGAAATTATGACAACAGAGCTGACGCAGCGAGGCATGTTTGGTTCGGTGTTGATCACTGAAAAACGGCCTAAGGGGCTTGTTGGGAAAGGTTTCACGTGAATTTATCCCTACCGCTATCTCTAGTCGATACCTTTAACGCCTTCCCCATATTTCAGTAACCTAAAAAAATCATTCCAAGTTATAGAATGACGAGAGTTAGAGTTGCCTTCTTTCTGTAGCCTAGCTAGCTAGTGCATTCTTTGTAATCATATATCACACCAATCATGCACATGGTTTCAAGTAACATTAGAATGCCACTAGAGATCAAGGACCAATATGTCATTCTAGAAATCCTCTGAATTCTTATATGCATTGAGTATATCATACACAACCATTCACATGCCACGCATTCTTATCTTATAAACTCGATGCATTTAAAATTTTTACATAGGTCTCAATTTTTGTCACGTACGTACATAATTGAAATGCAAGACATTCCTGACTTGGCAAGGCAAATGGTGCTGTGGTACGTTACCTACTAAAAAAGATTAATCCCTCAATGAATCATGGATGACTTTTTATGCATTATTGGCACATCTCCCTCTCATTAATAATAAATATACTTAACTTTTTTTGCTATTTTTCTGTTTTGGGTTGCTTTATTTTTGTTTTCTTTCCCATTTTTGTTATTTTTTTCTTCATCTACGTTTGTATATATATATAGCATAAGTTGCTAGATGATTACACATCCTCATTCAGTGACTGCACGAGATTGAGGGGGTTGATTTGGAAGAAACCCAGCTAAGGTTTCCTCACAACCCCTAATCCTTGTGCTTTTGCTCAAAATCTGAAGAGGAAGACGAAGATAGAGCATGGCTATCATGGGCAGCCATAGTCCTTTGGCTTTTGCATTTGGAATTCTAGGTAACACATTTTGGTCATCATCATCGCTATCTTTCAGTTCATGAAAATTTTTCCTTCTTTCTTCCTTTTTCATTTTTTTCTTCTTCTTGTTTCTTGGTTCTTGTTCAGTTACTCAAATATTATATCAGTTTACTTAAAGTTCTTTAAGCAAATGTACTTAAAGTTTTCTCTTTCAATCACCACCTTACGCGCAAGACTCTTGGGGCTTGAAGCGTGAATATTGCACATGCTCATTTTTTTGTTCTATCTTGTATTAACTTAGTTCTATTAAAAATTGAGAGTGGTGAATATCAAACTTATGATCCCGTGGTCACCTTATTCTTATACCATGATAAATAATTATCTCACATAAAAGCTTAAGTTTGCAAGTCACTAGTCTTTTTCAATGATGTCTTTAAATGATTTTATATTTTATATCTATAACAAATTTTTTCCTTCTTTTGGAAGTGGTGAATGGGCTAACCCCACTGTTATAAATCATATTAAGTTATAGGTCGATCACAAATCCCGACTTAAAAGTTGTTCAGAAACTCATTTTTTTAGTCATGAAGCATACTGAATATTGTAACTGCTCTCTACATTTGCTTTTCTAAAGCCAACGAATTAACATATTCTCCTTTGAATAGGTAACATCATTTCCTTCTTGGTGTTCTTGGCTCCACTGTAAGTATATTATCTATACTAACTAATTGTTACTTCCATCTAATTAATGAATGTGTGACCAATATTAATGTCAATTTAATTTGATTATTACCTATATATAATACACGATTTTTTTTCCCTTTACTTTGAATTGCAGGCCAACGTTTTACAGTATATACAAAAAGAAGTCCACAGAAGGATTTCAATCATTGCCTTACCTGGTGGCATTATTCAGTTGTGTGCTTTGGTTATACTACGCGTTGGTCAAAAAAGATGCCTTACTCCTTATTACAATTAATTCATCTGGATGTGTCATTGAGATCATTTACATCATCGTGTACCTAATCTATGCTCCCAAGAATGCCAGGGTACTATATAAATTCTAACTTCTCATTAAATCATCAAATCTATGCATTGATAACAATTGATTAAAATTGAAAATATAGATATATCCATATATGTAACGTTTATATATATATATATATATATATATATATATATATATATATATATATACCAAACTATTTAATTGCAGATCTTAACCATTAAACTATTTATGGCGATGAACGTGGCTTCCTTTGCCCTGATCCTCTTCGTCACACAATTTGCTCTATATGGTTCCCTCCGTGTCAAAGTCCTTGGATGGATTTGTGTCAGCATTTCAGTGAGTGTCTTTGCAGCACCTCTAAGCATTGTGGTAAGTCAAAATTTCAATTCAATTAATAAATTAAATGCTTTTTAATTAAGTGTTGGCATTCCTATGATATCTATGGAATTAATCCATGTGTCACTCACGTACTCTTCACTTCATGATTAATTATTTGTTGATTTACTACAGGCACAGGTTATTCGAACAAAGAGTGTACAGTTTATGCCCTTCAATTTGTCATTTTTCCTCACATTGAGTGCCATAATGTGGTTTACCTATGGTCTCTTGCTCAAGGACATATGCATTGCTGTTAGTATCTATTATTATTATATTGAGTTGGTTGAATATGAAAGTAAACTTCGTCAATTAATAATAGAGATCTATTAATCTCATGTTGCATGAGATAATTATCTCATGCAACAGAGATAAAATTGTGGGGTCTATTACTTTTTCAAAAAAATAAAATAATGGATCCTACTATTTTATCTCTCTTGCATGAGATAATTATCTCATGCAACATGAGATAATTATTTCCCTTAATAATAATAATAATAATCAACTGTTAATGCATTTTCCATTTTCTGCAGATCCCAAATGTGCTGGGTTTTGCTCTGGGGCTACTTCAGATGCTGCTATATGCCTTTTACAGGAATGGTGGAGTTAAAAAGGAGGTTGTTACAGAGGAGAAGGAGCAAGTAATTGATCAACCAATGAAAAACATTAACATTGTTGTTGTGAAGCCGTTGGGAACTAGTGAAATATTCCCAATCCCAGTGAATGCCAACGTTGTTGTTGAGGAACTTAATCAATATGTTTAGGAGCTTAATTAATTAATTAATATGTAATACTCTGTTAAACTTCTTTTTCGCAATTATATTATTTTCTATAAAATAAAAAGACCACCAATAACTATTTTTTAATTACACGAAAAGAACCTTTATATTATTACAAAAAAAAAAAAAAAAAAGAACCTTTATATATATGTGAAACATAACATACAGACACTGTCACACACACATGATAACACAAGAAGTAAATGACATGTATCGTTGGAAAAAGATTCATGAACACAATTCAGACTTCATCAACGCCCTGAAATAAAGCAAACATTTTTGTCGTTGCTAACGCGTGTTTATAATGGTAGCATAGCTACTTGCCGCGGTTGCCACCCAAAATATGGATTGTGCAAGAAAAAGATAAAGGTGTTTCCGCCGATAATGCGGTTCTTCTTCTGCTTTAATTTTTAATATCATTTCATGGCTAATCAACTACAACGGTTCACATTTTGTGACAAGAAGGTTATGATCATAAACGTTAAAATGATGCTACCATTTAGTCTAAAATAAAATTCCAATCAGCTAGGTATATTGATATATAGCCTTATCTCAATTATCCACTCCTACATATAACAAAATTGAGTTTCTCACACCGTGAGAGGGAAATAATTTCTTGTTTACTAAAAAATTACGCACATTAACCTGCTAAGCGCTAAGGCATTGTTTTTGTCTTCTTTGTTTTACTCTTAATATTTCCATCAGCCCAATTATAATTGGGTTTCGATTATGAGTGTAAATAGATTAGGTTAAGCGTTGACTTAAATAGCTGAGACTTGCATAAAATATTTTAGGCCTAATTTAACTAGTTAGCCTTATATATGCCCGCCTGACCTATATTTAAACATATTAAACATTTAATAATTAAAATAATTAAAATAATATTATTTTATTAATCAAAATTATTAAAATAATAATTTTATTTATTTTATTTAAAATAAATAATATGATATAGGCTTACCTGTAAATTTAGGCTCGATATGTAAAAAAAAATCTATGATTTATTTTTTAAATAGGCTTTTTAAAAAGTCTAGACTTACTCTTCGATTATATTTAATGGGGCATGTTATATTTACAAATTTTTTTGTTTACAAACTACACTATCTTCTCTCGGGAGAATACTCATTACACTATGTTCTTCCGGAAGAACATAATGTAATTTGTAAAAAATTTCAAAAAAAATTTGTAAACGGATCATTCCCCATATTTAATAGGTCAAATCTGATGTAATATAGTCTAAGTCATCTGTCAACTTAATCCATTTACACACCTACTCACAACCATCTGGCTTCCCCTTTCTCCCAAATCGCTCAACTATCTCATGGTTTCATCAAAACCTTCCAAAAGAAAAGTAAAACTCCGAGTAGTGGTATTACCAATTTATACATAATTGACGTCACAACGAAAATGGAAATTCAACACTTGAATTTGAGTTTCGGGTTTCGTGGCCGATTATGTAGACACCGCTTGGTTATATCCCCAGCAAAAGAAATTAAAAAAGTAACCGCATAGAGCATCATCACTAAACGACATTTTGCTTTGCTACATAGTACATGCCATGGAGTTCACAATTTGGCACATACAATACAAACACCGTATTTTAGCCGTGAAGGCAAATCGAAGCTTAATGCATACATTCAACACAGAATGAATATTTTATATATATATATATATATATATATATATATATATATATATATATATATATATATATATATGAAGTAGGATCTTTTGACACCGGTGTCAAATTTAAAGTTTGACACCTAATTTGATAGCCGTTAGATTAAAAAAGATCAACGGTGTCACATGCTTACAAATCAGAGTCATTGATTTTTTTGATCTAACGGCTATAAGATGAGGTGTCAAATTTAAAATTTGACACCAGTGTCAAAGGATCATACCTCTCTCTCTATATATATATATATATATATATATATATATATATATATATATATATATATATATATATATATATATATGCCAACTTATGCATATTCTGTGTTAAGAAGCAATGAATTAAATTAAAGGTTTAATTTTGGCAACCCCTGTTACTATAAAAAAATTATTACCTAATGATTTCTTGTCATATTATGTAATTGAATTTAATAAGTTGAAGTTTAAACCAAAAGATCATTATGGAACAATGGTATATCAAATAAACTAAAATCTCATTAATACAGGTTTGAATTTTATTGTTCATTATTTTTAAAAAAAATTCCAATTATTTTTACACTTTAATTTATAATAAATTTTATTATAAATATATTCAATTAATCTTTTAAAAATATAGATGACACCTGTTTGAAACTTAAATAAAATATTTCTAACATTAAATTTTAAAATAATATTAATTTAGCTTTTAAAAGATAAAATGATGATTTTATTATCATTAAAAGAACAATTCAATGTTTACTTTATATAAGATTAATGTGTCTTATAATTTTATCTCGTACACATACATAAAAGTATGTGGGATCATGTGAATAGAAGATACACATTTTAATGTGTGTAGGAGATAATTTTATCTCTTATAACATGAAAAATATAAATCTTTACAATATATATATATATATATATATATATATATATATATATATATATACTCACTTTATTTTTAGATTTGAAAAATTATTTTTAATTTAAAATTTATAGTTCACAACTTTTTTATATTATTTTATATTTTCATTTGGTTAAAATTTTATATTCACAACTTTCTAAAAAATATGGCTATATTGCTTTTTTAATTAATTATTAAAAAAATAAGAAAAGGTAAAATAAATTAATTTTTTCTCTTATTTTAATAAAAGTTATAGTTATCCTTCTTTCGTGCAAAGAAGCTTTAGGATAAATTATTATTTTATATAAATTTTTAAAATACCTTTATATATAAAAAAGAAAAAGAAATACAAAAGTGAACATATTGAAAGACTATTTTTATTTTCTGTATAACCAATCACGGAAAAATCAAACAAATTGTAGTGACCCTTTTCTTTATTTTATTTTCTGTTTAAAAGAAAGATTATTTCTCATTGTTACACATTAATTCAAATTTTTGATTTACTTTAGAACTAGCTAGCGGTGTAGTGTATCGGTTTCTTGTGTGCATTAATCAATCAATCAAAGTTGAGTGTAAGCTTGGAATACTAAACCAACAATATCAGAGGTAAAATTAATTATCCCAAGTTTCTTGGGAGAGTTTGACAAGTTATGCAGAATATATATATATTTTGTTTACTTACTTCATTGACACAAGTATACAATGAAATTTATCGTATAATACTACAAACACATCAAGTGGAAATATATGGAAAACAATATAACTTTGACCAAAAAAAAAAACCTTGAATTTAAGTTTTGCTTTTAGTCATTTAATGGGAAGTTAATCATAGTAAATTTTAAACTCAACCATTGTATACTTATAATCTTAAAATAATACAAACACTTACTCCCCTAAATTTTACACAATAAAGAAAAACAAAACATATATAATTAATAATTGATTGATTGAGAAGTTCATCTTACAAAACACTAGGATTAAGCATAGCATAACGTAGGAGCTGGTGATCTTGTTCAAATAAAAGCATCTCTTTGAAATCAAGAGTCACAAAAGCTTCAACTCCACCATCCTTAGTATCCATCAAGGCAATTGTATTACTCCCAAACTTATTCACACTTGACATCCACACAGGCTTCCCCCACCCAAAATCAGTTTCAAGCAATGGAAACTTACACCAACTTGAACACTTATAAACCACACTTGTATTTGTATTGTCCTTCTTCTTCAAAATTTCACCCCTTTCTTTCAAAGTCTCCATCACCACACCAAATGCACCTTCCTCTTTGAACTTCTCTGCCTTTCTATCAAGAAACTCCCTCATACCCTTCCTCATCCTCTTCACCAACTCATGCAACTCCACGTGGCTATCCTCCTCCACCGTCACCGCGAATGGCCACACGAAGTTCCCGACAGCGGTGTCCGGAACTGGCGGGTCCATCCGGGGACGGAGGTTCACGGCTTGGAACAAAGCCGAAGGCTTAAACGACGTCGTTTTGGAACTAGAAGCTGACAAAGCACATTTCCAAATGAGGGCGAGCACCACCTCCACCCTCGACGGATAAAACATCGTGCCTTCATCGAGTGCGGTTTTGACTCTGTCCTTGAGCTCTTCAACCTTGGACGCGACGAAAACGAACCTTCTGGTTGTGAACTTCTCGGAGCTAACGGTGTTTACAGAAGCTGACATGCCGGGAATATCTCTAGGAGGAAAGAGAGTTGCACCGGTGGCCAGTTCAGGAACCACCGTTTCGGTGGCACCGTCACACGCGGCGGTCCAGGTTTTGAGGAGTGTGATCAAGGCTGCTATATCGGCGATCTTGTGGGTGAGGGAGATGCTTAGGGCGGTGCCACCGCAACGGAACAAGGTGAAGCGGACGAGGAGCATGGAACCGTTCGACATTGTCATGGTTTCGTTGTCGGTGGTGGGGAGGAAGCATTCGAGTGTGTCGAAATCTGGGTTGACGAGGATGTCGGAGAGAGAGGTTTCGGTTTGAGCTTCGATGAAAAAGGCACCTTCGTCATTGCAATGAATGGTGGAGGCATCTTTGAGGCGTCCTGCAAAAGGGTAGAAAAGGGTTAACGTTTGGGAGAGGGAATTTTGAAGAAGTTGGGATTTGGTGGAGAATGATTCAGAAGCATGATTGTAAGGGTAGAAGAGGGTCATGTTGCCATGAATATTAGGGGAAAGCTGGTCTAGTAGAGACAGTTTGAAGGTTTTAAGGTGTGGAGGAGTTGATGTTGAAGGTTTGATGCATTTTCTGCTTTTGATCTCAAATTCTATCTTCCGACTCATTTTGTTTCTTCCTTTCTTCTTCTGCTTATTCTCTCTACTTCCCTTTTTCTTTGTTTCATTTACCCACGATACTCTTACCTTTATATAATACCCATATATGCAAAGCACAGCTATATTGAATTATTAATTTTACTTCATTTTTTTTCAGCGGTGGCAGTATATACATTTATATTGCTGGACAACTTGGGAACGCAACCTTTTGTCCTTTTTAAAATGTAGGTTAACTGGTTTAAGTTTCCCATTTTTATTGACTTTGTAAGTCAGTTAGCGATTAAAAATGTTGCTTGCTCTTACTCGACCACAATTAATAATATTTGTCCTAATCGATCCAATGGTTAGTATACAATTCAAATTCTTTTTTTTTCATGATATCTATATCACATATTTTCAAGTTAGCAACAAACCATTTAAAATTGTCTAGGTGAGAATATGTGTACGAGCTCCAACTCTTATAGGCATGTAAAACTGACTCCATCCATCCGGTACAGGGAGGGTTAAAAAAGTTGTCCAACCTTGCGTACTTTCTTGATTATGTCTCACGTATGAGCAAAACTAAAGAATAACATAACGAGCCATCATGAAATATAACATGCAAGCATGACCCACGTGGTTTCATTTTTTGACTTACTATATGTTATCTCACATATAACGTAGTCAAACTAATGACAAAATATTCTGTACACTAAGAATATTACTCACACTTGGTTTCTCCTCAAGCAATTCTGATATGCAAATTTATAACTGTTCCACTATCATATAAGAGAAAGGCATGTTGAATAACAACTAAGGATAAACGAGATGTAGATTTCAGCTAACCAGTGCTCAAGTTCAAACATAAGATCAGCCTTGTTCTTCATAATTATCAACAGGATATAACATTCACGCACCTTCAAGAGCACACAACATGTGATTGATCAATTTGAAAAGTTTATTAAAACGTCTATTTTCCCACTTTTTTAGGGGGGGCAGGGGTTAACATCTATTTCTTCACAAGACTAAAAGCTTCAATGTTCAAGATGGAAGACATATTCTGTCAACCGCTGCAATTTACTAGGATCTAGTTTCTGCTCTATCACGATAGGTTGCTTCTTCACAGTAAGCATTTGAGATGCAGGATCCACAGTCCAACCTTGCTGCAGCACATCTACAATTATACAACCAAAAATTGTCAGAAGTAATAAGAGAGGGAGGAGGAGATGGTTTATAGAATTTTGTGCATGTTTGTTTATAGTACAGTTCAAAATTTGTGAAAATAATCGCTCTTTTTTTTTTTTTTTTAAAGCTCTCTCAAAAAGCTGTTAAAAAAAAACTTTTTTACCTCAAAATAAACTAATTCCAAACACGTACTTAATCCTTAAGGATCTTTTGAAAGCCAGCCAAAACAAGATCACACCATTGGAAGATGCAATTTTATAGATAACTCATTGTTTATGATAAGGAAATTGTCATGACCACCCTTAGTCCAAATTCACCATCAAAGGTTAGTTGTCTTTTCTTGGGCTTCAAATATAATATTGAGTAGTTTCTATATTTCCCAAACCAAGTACAAAATGTAATCAATATCCAATTTCTAAGGCTTCTAGGAGAGGGAAAAGTTCAAATTGACAACATATGATAATGACACAAAGTTCCAATCTTTCATTAATTCATTCTTTCTTTCCTTTTAGCTCCCTGCATTCCTTTTCCACTCCAATATTTTTGAGTGCTGTAACTGCTGTTCAATAGACTGCTTGCTTCCCCCTGACTGCCTTCTTAATTGACAAACCTAAATTTCATCCCTATTTCTTCCCTTTACTACCATCATTCCCGGTGTAAATTTCTCAAGTCTTAAAATTTCAAGAAACAGTTAGCCTCAAATTCAGCCATTGCTCTATATCAGAAACAAAATATTTCCATTCCATTGATCATAAATCATCATTAGACCAAATATAAATCTTTTTAATTCCAAACCCTAGCATAGCCACCAGAGGCAGACTCAAACAATTATCAATTTTAACCATTTAAAGATAGAAAATTTTATTGAGAGACTATAATAATGTAGATGCAGCACAGACAACACTAAAAAACAGGACTTTAACCTATATGTGCACAACTTTAACCACTGATTACATAACACATAATATGATAAACCCTAGAGGATACTTTTATTGGCCATCCCATTAACAAGCATACCATTTTGAAGAGTTACACTAAAGTGCATGCAAGAAAAGGCTTATATGCAGATATTTTTGCCAGGGGTAACAGGAAAAGGATGAGAGAGAGAGAGATGCAATCCTTTTTTACTAAACACTCATAAAATGTGTCTCTGGGTCCTCCTTTTGCAGTCAACATTTAAGTGCAAGATTCTGAAGAGTTTATTCAGTCCATGGGTCCTCAAGAAAGGATTAGGAGCAGGGATTAGATTTATATGCTTCATCTTTTCAAGCAGAAATAATGCTTATTTGTAGACTGCATTTACGTATCCATGATGTATGCAAATCATGGCCACATAAAATAAAAACACTATTTGCCTGTGGATGTTTGTTTAAGATCAGATCAACCGATCACATTGGTTCTGAACCAAGAGGCACTAAGACATAAGAAATAGATATGCAATGTTTAATTCAAACATGATCACAAAAATACTCACAACTTGTAGCATCATCCTCATTCATCCCCAGAAATAAAGCAGCATCTTGAATGCTTATTGTAGAATAAGCAGAGAGAAGCAGCTGAAACATCTTCTTTGTGTAAAGTTCTGGAAACAGTTTATTGGTAGTTACGTAAATGTTAACATTTTTACAGTGCTAAAAATCCTTGAAAAAAATATAGATGCAAAAGATTTTTGAACTCAAACTATTAAGGAGAGCAGTCCAAAACCAAGAAACATATGTAAATAAAAAATTACAGAAGTTACTGTGGAAGTGGCACATTACTATATTTTATGCAAGCCCTGATATCCATGGCACCTTTATCTGCAGTACATGTTGGCCCAAGAAATTACACTATTCATATACACATTTTCTTATTATATGTAAAGGGAAAGTGAAGTCCTGTCAAAAACAGGTTTTTAATCACTGATCTTCCAAGTTTAGAGTATAATACATTTTTTCCCATCAAACTTATTTTAAGGTTAGCCAATTGCTTTCTATCATAACATACTAAGGCAAGCTGGCAAGTTGTAGCTAGCCTATCACTATATATATGGCATCAAACCAATAATACTTAATATAGATTAAAAGATTAGTACATCCACTCTTTACTGATTCATCCACACAGAAATGACTGAAGTAGTTTCAGGGAAACATAGAGAGTCTACTATCAACATTCAACAAGGTAACATTTTGATTTAAGAGCAACATATATAGTCTCAGCAATTCCAAAAAATTGATAAACATGTAGGCTTTAGATGCACGAAGATATTCAAAGTGAATAGAATCATCATGCCTGAAGATACAAGAGTTTGTACAGAACTTACGTAAACTCTGTTTTTATTTTATTTTTATATATAACCTGGAGGTATCCTCACTCAACCTCCTCCAACCACCTTGTCCTTGCAGTACGACCCTAAGGCTAGCTTTTCATTGAAACATAGGGTGCATTGGCAAAGAATTCCAAGAATTTGCTTTGGCAAAGGTTTGAAAACCCTTGGGCACTCAGTTGCCAACTAAGCTACCCTTTGGGGTTAGGGTTATGTAAACTCTATTTAAAAAAGAAAAACAGAACAAAATCTTAAAAGCTTGCCTGAGAAAGCAGTGACTAGGCCTTGGAGTTCCTGACTCCAATCAAACCCACGGATTGCCTCATGCACTCCAGCATAGTCACGTAACCACAACCGCTGACCAATTTTCCATGCTGCAGTCACTTCAGGCTGGCTTTCTTTGATTGAACTAGGTATTGATTTCCAGAGAAAACGAGCACTGTTGCTGCAATATGAGAGACGACAACAGCAAACATGACAACACAACCTAAAAAAAAAAACATTGGAAAACAAAACCAACCCCCAAAATTGCTACAAAAAAACTATCAAACGTAAAAACAGGAATTATCTCAGTACCAATATATATGTCAATGAAAGAGTAAACTACAAAATATTGCAACCCCCAAAACCAATGACGGAAGACATAAACCCTAAGTGAGTGAGGAAGATACATGTCGTGAACATAAATGTGAGAGAGAAGATGAATGGCGTAGGGCCAGTCGTCCTGATAAGAAATGCCGTCGGCTGCAACCTGAGTGAGGATCAAATAAGAGAAGAGACATAAACCCTAAGGAACCGAACCACAATGGAATGGATCCAATGAAATAACTACCTGAAGCATGAGGTTTTCGCACACATCTGCAACCTTGTCGTACGATTTCGATGCCAACGCTGTTGTCACCGTCGTGAAATCCATCACTCTCTAACCTTCCTCTCAGATCCCTGTAATAAACAAACAATGAAATAAAAAAATAAAAAGAAAAGTAATAATTAAAATCCAAACACGCCATTGCCGTAGCCGTTACCTCGATTCGAAGTGATGACGGAGGAAACAAACTCGGCTTCTTCTCCGAGTGAGGTCCTAATATCTATCCTTCATCATAACGACGTCGTTGTTTTTTACACACATAATATAAGTTTGTTGAAAAAGAAAGCAGTATTATTAGCATTAGGTGTGTGAGAGGCCCAATCGCATAATGGTTGGAGTTGGACCCTTGCCACTAATTTGCCTTGCCGCTATCTACAAGGTTTTATTAATATCATATTAAAGAAGATAAATTATCTCATATCATAGAGATAAATTTGTGAATTCTACCATCTGAAAAATAAAAAGATAAAAAGATGACACAGTTATTGAAGAGTGTGTAGGAGAGGAAGTTATCACATGTAACATTAGGATAGTTTTTCCCTATCTATAATCAAGTGGAACATTACTTTCACAAAATTAAAATCTTTAAAATAATAATTACTTTAAAATAAATGGAACATAAATTCATTCAACTGCAATTATAAATTGAGTTTTATACATATCATGTTGGATGACATTCTTAGTGTGATGTTACTCTCACATGACAAATCGGACTCACCTTGTTTTCTTTTTTCTTTTTTCTTTTTGAGTGGGACTCACATCAAATATATTAAAGTAACATGAAACTAAAAATGTCCTACAACATAACACGTATAAAACCCTTATAAATTTGACGAAACAAACCATGTTTAATGTCTATTGGAAATTTTATGAAACGCATTATTTTGCTTTGAGTAATGCATCCATAATTTTCTTTTCTTTTCCTTTTTCACGGTAAACCTTTCTCGTCCAAAACTTCGATATAAGAATCGTTTTAATGGCGTACAATTATACGTATAGAGGAAATTAACCAAAATAGAAGTAGCGTTTAGTTTGATATACCTTGCCTTGTATAATAACTTGAAATTAACCAATGGAAGACATCATGTTAATCTACAATTTATCTTTTTAAGAGTGAGACAATTTCTGTACAAAATCTTTCTCATTTTGTGATACCTTTCTTATGAGCTTTTATATCAGATTAATTTAATATTTTTCTCTTCAACTAGTAATACATTATAAAAAAAACAATCCTCAATTTCTTAAATTAATGCTTAAATTTCTTTAAACAATATTAAGCATAGTAAAATATTTAAAAATCACTATTACAACAATCTTATATCAACTAAACCAATCTTAAAGTTTCTTTAAAATAAAAAAAATTCAAACACGTGTTTTTTAATATTTTAACTTAATTTCATATTACTAGTAAAATAATATCCAATCAATTAAACTAATATTCATTGAATTTTTAAATTTAGATTTTAATTATATTTCAAAAACTCGTGCAATCCAAGATTCAAAAATTATTTTCTTTCCTCAGAAGGGCTCTTCATATTCACTTTAAAATGAAAGAAATAGTTCCTAAGATAGATCTTAATAAAATGGGCAAACATGCACGTTCCTAAAGAAAAAAAAAGTTGTGAAAAAGAGTAGAAGGGGAGGGAAGGAAAAGGGAGAGAGCAAATTAACAAAAGCACATTAGATGCCTCTCCCACTCATTGGATTTACTTTACAGTTTACACGTTGTTCCGCAGATTTTTGCCTTCCAAGTGAAGTAACCAATTAAAAAATTTCTGAAAAATTCATGGAGAAAACGTTTAATACTCCAATTTGATATCATCCTTTCCAAAACCTTCTTCCTTGACTTGGCAGTTTAATAATTTCTTGTGACTCCCTTGATAACCATTCTAAATTCGATCTTATACCCCACCCAAATTTTCTCTCACTCTTATCCTTCCTCATTTCTTCCTTAAATTAATTGAAGAAATGAGAGTCAAATGAGAAATTGAGTGGAAAATAAGGACATTGATACAGTCAACAAGAATGATATGACTATCCCTCATTAAACACTCAATCCGTCGAATCCACACTGCTTGTAAGTCAGAGATTGCTTTTTTGGACTGATCGCTATAGCACAATCCACGGAGACCTGTTCAATTGAGTTCATAATCGTTAATCTATTGTTAAAAACGAGCTTAATGGAAACATTGGTTACTATAAAGAAGACTGAAGAAAGAGGAGAAGAAAAAAAAAACAAGTTGGAGTAATTTAGTGTTACTAGTTTATTTTAGCATTTTTTCAAAAAGATTATTAAAAAAATACCAACCATACACTGGCAGTGCACCAAAACACAGTTTCATTGCTTACAATCCAAAAAAGGAGAAGGGGAAGGAAGGAGTTAAAGGGGGAGAGGCATATGCTCACACTAGCAGAATATGGACACAGAAGGATGATCCCACACCCACCCCATGTGCCCCACAAAAAGTGTAGTCACATGCTGAAGACTTTTCTTGGCCTAAAAAGAAAAAAAGAGATGACAGTAGTGTTTGACATTTGCAATCTTCGTTTTTGGTCTATTCTAACATGAATATTAAATTTTGACGAGGGGTGGGTGTGCAGATCAAAATATGTATTAGTTAACTATCAAAATATATATATATATATATATATATATATATATATATATATATATATATATATATATATATATATATATATATATATATATATATACGTATTCGTTTGATCTAACGTTTAACGGTCTAATACCCATCACCCTAGTTGAAACCCAAAAAAATTGCAATCTCCGCATTCACTTTTTTGTAAATAAAAAAAAAAAAAATTAAACAGCAAAAATTTTGGGAGGGAAAAAAAAAAAGCCATCGAGGACAGACATCACAATGAACATTATTGAGCTTCAGCTGGTAGCAAAGGATGTTGATACCATGTTGTAGTGGTTGGTAACAATGTTATTAAAACCGGTCGAACTTCAGTGGGTCACTGATTCAAACAGTGAGTAACTGATTCAACCGCATGACTCGGTAATTATATGTAATTTTACAATTATATTAAAAAATTATAAACATACTCAAATATCTAAAAAAAAAGGATAAAAATTTCAAATAGTTTAATACAAAAAATAATAAATCACATATTATTATCAAATAAAAAATCAAACAAAAATATAATGATCGTGATACGGGACTTTAGGCTCAGAAAAGGACAATTCTAACTATAAATTAATTCAAAATTTTATGCATAGTACGTAATTGAGATAATATTAGTGTTGTAGGTAAATAACTTATGTAAGTCAACAAGCAAAAAATTATTCAAATATGGCTATTATGATTTTTTTTTTTTAAAAAACAAAATTTTGGATTTTTTTTTTTGACCGGGCCGGGTCACCGGTTAACCGACTGAGTCACCAATTTTTATGAAAATCGGCCGAGTCACACCAGTTCTGATGTATGACCGGTCCATTGCTTCAACTAGACCGATTTACCCTGTTCTCATATGAACCGGTCGAATCGGTCCGGTTTTAATTATTACAGTTGGTACTCTGGAATCTGGAGAGACCTAGCAATTTTATCACTTTCTTTGCACTTTCTAATCATTGGTTATTGGCTGAAGTTGGGCCCTACCAATCAATTTTTCCACTCCCAAAATTTTTTGGATCCCGAATTCCCATTCCACCCCCTATTTAGTAAAACATTTTTAAAACAATATGTGAACCCTTGAAATCAAGGATTTCACTGTAGTCATGCCCCCAAAAAATCAAAGAAAAGTCCACAAACGAAGGTGAGAACAATTCCACTAGCCCGCAACAGTGAGGCTATTGGAATGTCTCAACATGGTATCCAGACAAATGTATAAAAGAACGCGAAACAAAAGCACTGAACAGAAACAGATAGTTAATTTTTTAAAATAAAAGCACCGAATTCGATTTTATGGACTAGCAATAATAATTTTAATAACTAACAGAGAAAAGAAATATTTCTGTATGATATGACTCAAATCAGTGAAAACCTATAAAACTTAAAAATAAAATAAAATAAAATTGATAAGACCCAAAAATCCCCCCTTAAAAAATTCTTTTCACACAGAGGCACCATGGTACAGGAGGTACAGAAATAAACCAAAAACCAAAAGGAAGAGGGGCAAAACACAAAAGAGGAAAGGAACACACTGCAAGACGTACCCAAAAATATTTGAATGTGAAAGTGATGAAACGGTAAACTGCAAAAATGTACTAAAAAAAAAGCATCAAATCAGAAGGGATGGGGCGAGTCAAGAAGGTCTTGGATTCTTCAAGATAAATTTTATATAAAATAATAAAAAAAGGTTCTTAAAATATTAATATATTATTTATCCTTTACAAACTAAAACAAAAATAACTTTCGGCACACGTTATCACAGGCAATGTGGTACTGATTGTATTGTACTAAGTATACCAACGACCTCCGCAGCGCACGTTAGCCAGAAAAAATAAAATAAAAAAGACAAAGAAGAGAAGTAAAGAAAAAGCAGAGTGCGACAGAAGGTGGAGCCACCCTCCGCCACACTCATTCTCTCTCTCTCTCTCTATCTGAACAACAACCCATAATCCCATATGAAAATCAAAGTGAAATCCACAACGAAAATTTAAGCTTAATTTGTAAGCAAATGTCAAAATGCGAACTAAGCTAAATGGGGAAAGTTCTACCTCTAAAAATACAAGATTCCAAGAAGACCCAATTTGAAAAAATGAAAAATTGAATCGAAAAACGGAATGCCCATATAAAAAAAAAAAGTGAGAGTAGTACCTGAACACCAGGAGAATCGAAGTTCATGATCCGGATCTTAGCACCAACATCGCCCAAGACTCGAAGCTCGACTCGGTCGTTGAGGGAAGCGTCTCTGATCAAATCGGCGGCATCCGCCTGAAGCAAATTGACCCGATCGACGGCAATGGTGGCCACCACCTGTCTTACGCTGTGAGCTTCTTGGTAGAACCCGGGAACGGAAGCTTTCCCCAACGGGATCCCACGGTACATAACGGTGAACCTGGACTCGCCGTACTTGATCCCCACCTTGTTAGGGTTAACGGCCGTGAAGAGTAGCCGAATGGTGAGTGAGAGTGATGCGGCGGTTCCCGTGACGGTGACGGTTGGGTCGTTGGAGGGTATGATACCCACATACTGAACCCCAACTTGCTGAAGATCGAACTGTGGCTTCTTGGGCTTCACGGCGAGGATGATAATCAGCACCACCGCTAGCACCAGAAGTGCTAGGAATACGAATAGCAGGAAGAGACAGCAACAGCACCCTTTGAATGACGCCGACGAAGACGAACGAGACGGTGTCGTTGGACAGTACGGGCGGTGCTGCTGTTGATGTTGCCGTTGTTGATGGTAACCATTGGAAGAAGGTGGTGCTTGTGGTTGTGGTTGTGGTGGTGGTGCCGGTGGCCTTTGTCTACGCTCGCCGTTTGGTTGTTGTGGGTTATCTCTTGTGGTCATTTCTCTCTCTCTCTCTCACTCTCTGGATTGGGTTTGGTTTCTTCTTCTTCTACTTTGTCTCTGTGTGTGTATTTCTAGCTATTAGAATGTGTTGAGAGAGAGAGAGAGCGAGAGCTCCGATGGAGAGAAAATGGAGATGGGTTTTGATTTGACAACGATTTTTCTTGCTTAAAAGGATAAAATAGTATTAAAAAAGAAAAATTATACTTTCATGTTCCGCGGGATTGTTTTCTCGGATCAAAAAATATGTCTTTCTTTTTTTCTTTTAAATAATATCTGTTATTTTAAATGGTATCATTTTTATTATTTTAGATCCTGTTAATTTCTGTCTATTAACGATTATAATTTATTGGATCAAAATTATTAATTAATTAATAATAAATTTGGCCCATTAAATTTGATCCAATAGATTATAACTGTTGATGAACGAAAATCAATGATTAGGATCTAAAATAATATAAGATTATGTCCTTTAAAAAAGATAGATATTTTTCTTTTTTTATTATTAAATTGATGGACTTTATCTCTTAAGATAAGAGAATTTTTCTTTTTATTACATGAATCAAGTAATTCCTATTAAAAAATTGTACTTAAAGAATTGATTTAAGATTACAATACTCGTTCAAAATTTGACTTGAAAAAAAAAATCATTTGATGAGTTCTATTTTATAAAAATAAAAATAAAGATTATAACTGCTTTTTATTTTTAGAATCAAATTTATTAAATATATATTAGTTGTTTTTATTTTTTGTTTTAATTTTTAATTTCTAAAATATAAAAAATTATATAAGATCAAACAACAGCATCGACACACTCAAATTACCAGAGTGTTTTTTTTTTCTTTTTTAAAGTAACAAATTAGATAAGATCATAAGAACAGGAGTGAATTTTTACTACCATTCAATGCACAATCTTCACTTTCATATATTATTTCTTCTTGCTGTCAGACTTTATTTTTGTTGGTATTATTTCTGTTGAGATATTCGCAGCCAGAGGACATTGTCATATCTGTCATGTGAAGTTTGTGTTCTAGCACAAAACATTCTTGTATTTAAGACTAATAATCCTCTATTTTTCTTATTCAATAACTGTTTTATCCGAAAATTAAAGTAATACCATTTTCCATGTATGAGTAAAATCCTACAAACAACTTTTGAAATTAATGTCCACATAATAAATAGAGAAATTATAACATATTTTTAACGTAACCATTAATGCACGTGACGTGCTACGAATATTTTCACCGTTAATTTTATTGCCATTTATATAAATTTTAGGTTATCATCTTTGAAAGAAGAATTTGTCATTTTAAATGATAAAAAGTTATGTTATTTTCAGAGAAAGATAGACATAAAATAATATTTTTTATTTTAAATTTAAATTAAAAAAAATCATTCACTTTTTTCCCATAATTTTTATTTTTTATATCTTTTTCTCTTTTAAAATAATATAATTTATGTCATTTAAAATAAAAAATATCTAAACCTAAATTTAACTGTAGAAATAGTAACTGACGTGCCGTTGTGAAATGAATGCTGATGAATTTATAATCTCCGAATAATTTTTGAGTACTACTGCTGTACTTAGATTCATTGCATCTCATGAATGAGAGCCTTACACATCAGATGAGAGAAAAAAAATTTGACAGAAATAAAAGTATATTAACTGACATGTAATATTTTCATTGTTGGGTGTTCGGTATGGAAGATGTTCGAGCCAGCTGGACAACATAACTTCTTCGAATTTGTGGGGTTCCAATAATTTGAGCTAAAAATATTGTAAATGGAGCGCATCGCAAACTTGGGCTGCAATGCTTTTTGTAACAATAACTAGTTAATTAGAAGAGAAATTTTGGTATTTTGATAATTCCATTTTTATTTTTAACGCTATTAATCTTATAGTTGTGAAATTTAAGTATGTTTCTAAAATTTCCTCGCGACACCATGGTTTGCAAAACCCCATCTTCGTCCCTGCAGCTTTTACAAGCAAATTTTTCAATTGTGATTATTAATGAATAAGGTTTTTTAAATTTTTAAATTTTTGCAATATATTATCTCAACTAATGCTGCTATAAGAGATTAAATTACTTTTCACTCAGAGGATGACTAATATTTGATGGTGTGATTACTTCACTAACTTGTAGGGATTATAGGACTAAGAAATGATACACAGACACACAGTCTCATGTTTAGTTAACATACACATCATGGCGAGTCCCATTTTTAGCTAAATTCCAAGAAGGATCAACGATCTTAACCTCACTTCTGCACGAATTTGAAAACTGAATGTATTAGAGTCACAGAGACATTATTTTCAACATTACAAATTAACAACAAAACTAACACCATTTAACTCATAGATGGAGAGATGAAATAGTGGAAGTTTTACGGTTTAAAAACTAAATTGATAAAATTTATTTCTAAGGGACTAAATTAATAAAGAATGTATCTTTCGGGTATTAAAATAATATTTTATTTTTATCATTAATTGATTGTACTACACTTTTCTTACCATAAAAATTATTATTTTTAACACAGGCTCAAGATTTATTTCTACAACATATTGGTAGTTATTGTTAGCACTTAATTATGTTAAATTCAGTTAAATATTCCATTACAATTGAAAATTAAAAATTGAGAGACGTTTTTTATATATATATATATATAGAAATCTCTATATAAAATTCACTAAAATCCCTATTTTAAAAGAACGCTAAATTGGTCATTATCATTTTTTTACCCATAAACATTTTTTATTCATATTCTTGTATATGTGATCATAGACACCATTTTTAAAAAAGGAAAAAGAAAAAAGAAAAATCACTAGGTATACTTTATATTTTTAAAATGTGAAACTAATATCCATTCATTTGTTGGCTTAACCATGGTGATAAAGTACTTCTACTATATTACCAAAAAAAAAAAGTAATTCTACTATGTTACCAAAAAAAGTACTTCTACTAAGTTTTGAGCTCCTATCACAGATAAAATTTGCACTTATAGAACTTAATTCACCAACTAAACCACGTTTCATGTTTAACAAGGGCTGTTTTGCTACCTTCGATTGCATAAGAACACAAATTTCAAATTCCTCACAAAATAAATTTACACTTCTTAGTGTACATCACACCCACAAAGCGTGTTCTCACGGAGAAACATTAGAGTATTTAAGTGTGATGAATCTCACATTAGTTAGTAATAGACTAAATGAAGTGGATAAATTCATGAACCCGACGCTTAAAGATTTTGGGTTGAGAACCCACTTCCTACAATTGGTGTAGCTTAACTCATTGATAGCGATCTTCTGCCATGGGCCCCTCTTGGACCGGCTGACAATGGTATTAGAGTCGAGTTGGGTTCGGGCTGACATGGTGATTGGCGGGTTGAGTACTTTGGGCTTGGTACTCACTTGAAAAATGAGCATATCAATGGTGGGTTTCACAACTGAGAAGGTGATCGTTATAGTATTCAAGTATGATGAGTTTTATGTTGGTTGGTAATGGGCTAAGTAAAGTGAATGGATCCATGAACTCAATGTCTTAAGATTTTAAATTGAGATGTGATGTTAGATCCACTTTCTACAATTGGTGTAACTTAACCTATTATTGATGGTGATTTCCCGCGATGAACTCTTCCTAAACCCACGTGACACATATATGCTTAAGAAGAGAAACGAGAAGTTAGGTTTCTAAGCATTGTAACGATCACGTGTATATGCGTACTCAAGCAAATTAAAATACTTAATTAACCTAGAAACCCTGAATTACGTATTTTTCTATGTAAAACCGGGGGGGGGGGGGGGGGGGGGGGGGTCTACCATTTTGATTTAGGGACAACGTGACTAAAACACTCGGTTATTTTGGTTATTTTCAACATCAATTTGATTATTACGTTTCTCAAATATCTGACCGTAGCTCAAAGTTCTCCCAAGTGGGTCACGTTATTCAATTATTTAAAGCAAACTAACCAAAAGACTCAAGAAGAAGGCACCAACCACTTCACACCTTTCTTTCTCACTAAGAAAACCCTTGAATAGATTCATTCTTTTACTATTCAGAGAAAAAATTAGGCAGGATCCGAATTAGTACTGTTACTACTGGTTGGAAGAGGAACGTTTCTAATATGATGATGACCCACAAACAAAGGTGGCAAAGTGGATGGCTTATCCTGTCTTGCCATCAATTTGTCAAAAAATGAGCTAGCTCATCCTATTCTATTTTTGAAAGTGGGCAGAAAAATTCGGCTGAGCTCGAACATATTTTATACTAATTCATCATCAACTCATTAAAAAACGAGTCCGTCCATCCCATCCCTCTCCGCTTTTGAAAATGGATTGTAAAATTCACTTTGCCCTATCCTGTTTTGCGGGCAATCCAAACCCGTTTTACCGGCTCTACCCACAAAGTGAGGATGGACAGATGAACAAGAAAATAATACCATTAAAACCTGACTAAGAATATTATAACCAAAAGAAGGGAAAAAAAAACATTTTTATAGCTAGAAGCGAAGCACTGAGATATTGAGTTATATCACTTTACCCAAATATTCCTTATAAAGCAACAAGTGTTTTAGCTCAAACAACCAATTAAATGACAGTTAAGTCGTAAAAGTGAAACAAAAAATGTGGCGCCTTTTTAGCAAAAGCTTTTTTGGCTTTTCCTTTTCATGTCACAAGAAAAAAAGATGGACCAATATCGATCCCACCACGTTGGTTCACGCATTTGCCCTAACCAGCGCTAAAAGGCTGGTGTCTTACATAAGGGTGAAAATAATAAGTCTGTAAGTGCAACCCAAAAATGGATGAAAAAGGGAGTTAAAGATTGGTTCCAGTAGTGTACCGTGAAGAATCTAGAGGCAAAAGAAGACTGAAAAGTGGAAGTAGTTCCCGAAAGCTAGCTGGACATTCTAACATCCAAAAGGAAGGAGCAATGGTATTGACATTATTAAACAAAATGATATGAGATAATATACCCGAAAACAACATCAATGAAACGACAAGTTACAAGCTTAGTTTGCTTGTTTCAAACCAGATGGTTGGAAACATCCTTTGGATTCTCTTTCTCCATGTTTGCTCGTTGGAAAGTTCTCTTTTTCTTCCTGTGTTCTAAAAAGCAACACAGCTCGGCACTTTCTCGAAAAATATGCAAATAATGTTTCTGTATTCTAATTGATTTTATTTTATTTTTGTCATTGACGATATATGTTAAACAAAATAATGAATGACTTCTTTCTTAAGGCAATGGTTTGCATAATGTGTAGGGGGTATACGTGAAGAGGGGAAGGCGTGTTCTATGTATAATGGATATTTAATTAGTATTATAATTATTAAGTTCAACACAAACCACACATACCGGACTAGTCTATTTATTTGGCTTTTCAGCCAACAAACGCACCCAGTTCATGTAAGCAATTTATTACGGAGACAAACAACTGTCTTTAAAATCAGAGCAAAACATATTTGATGCCAACCTTTTTAGTCAAGAACCTACACTGTCCATTTGAATTGGGACATCCGATTAAGGTTCGCCTTGTGGGGAGACGGGAGTGATTCATTGCCAATGAGGACTAACCCTTCTGTGAAGTTAATAAACAAAGGAAAAATAAATGCAAGATAAAAATTCACGTAAATTGAAATGGGGTGAATTTATGCAAAGTTTGCTCGTTATGGGCACAAACCAAACAGATATTGTGCATTACTGATTCTCCAAAGGGCAGCAAAACAAAGAGAACAAGTAAAAAAGTTCATTTGAATACAGAAATCACCAAGGCAATAAGTTCAAATATAGAAGCCTAGCGTACCAAGGGATAAACTACAAAACACAAATATCTGGTAGAATAATCGAAAATTGTGTTCTGGGAAGCCATCACTTCCCGTCAACAGCATCAGCAGCAGGATCTGCACTGGTGTTATCTGCTTCCATCTTAGTTGTTTCATCAACCCTTTTACCAGAATCATCTTCTAATTCATCATCCATCATGTCATCCTCTCCAACATTTATATCTTCCACATCATCATCATCTTCATTATTGCTTCCGCCGGGGATCTTTCTTTTCTTCGGACCATGCTCAAGCCTATGAGTGTCCAATTCTTTGTCCATAGTTTCCTGTAAATTCTGGTCATTGTTTACTTTCCTTGCGTTCCTTGCATTCTGCCATCTCTCCAAGTCCTTCTCAACATTGGCAAGATACTGCTCCCCAACCTGTTTCTGATACTCAGACACTTCCTCTCTTCTTGCATTCTTCCATTCTAGGAAAGCCTGCAAATTAAAGAGATGGATATTATATGAAAAAATAAGATGCATTTTAAAAGCCAATACTGTTGAATCCCGTGCTTTAGAGAGTATGAATTAATAAACATCCATGTAAAAACAAAAAACAACATCAATATTTGAGATTTTGCTAGGCGAATGCTTGATGGATGTCCATCAAGGTCAAAATGACATATAAGACGAAGACCAAAAGAGATTAAATGTCTAAGTTTGACAGTCTCTTCATTTCTTCAAGTTCCAAAGATCAAACCTCTTCTTTGCGCTTCTCAAGTGACATAGCATCTTCATCCAAGGGCTTGTTCGGCAAATAATATATTGGAGGCTCTGCTTTAGTCCTGCAAAAATACATGCCACTTTCAATCAAAGAAGAGCCCAAAAGGATTAAAGAAAAACAATCATATGTCTACCTAAATTCCTGCAATTAGCAGGAAACATCCAGTCATCAAGTTGCTTCAAACTACAATGCACATGAACAGAAACTTATCTTCGTCTCAATAAAATGTGAATATGGACACTTTTCGACCAAAATTAAAAATAACCTGCAGAGCAGAGCATGATATGATGTCAGATATAATAAATCTCCAGCTGTTGACGTGATAGCAAACGATTTCTCATGAGAAGACTCTTGCCTCATAAGTTTACAGTTGAAGGGGACAAACCTTATAAAATTGCTTAGTCTTTTATGATGCTCACTCCACCGAAGAAACAGCAACTCCAATTTCTTTTCTTCTGTCTTAGCGGCCACACGTGCCCTAAGAGTCTGGTCGTAATTGGAAAACAAAAAATATATGTAAAAAAATTTGTTAATGAGGATCAAAACGAAACGTTGTTGTCTGTTCTGAATAGCAAATAATAGTTATCGATTGAAAGCCAACCAAGTCTCTCCTCCGTTTTTCCGCAATCTGTTCACGCTCTTCTTGCCTAAGCCTTTCACTTTCTTCACGTGCTCTTTGCTCAGCCTAGGAAAGAGTTCCAAGGTATTTGAGATTATTATTGAGCTATGGATGTTACCATGAGGGAGAGAGAGAAAAGAAGAGAGAGAGAGAGAGGACAAAGTGGCAAGACAAATTCAGTGCTTGACAAGGAGGTGATCATAGAACTTCGCAAGCATTATAGCAAACGGGATATTTCACTTTGCCACATTAATCATAAGTCCAATTTAAAAATGATTCATTGCACCCAATCTAATCACTATTTTGTCAATTTTCACCTTGTCCATCCAAATTGGCACAAGGTTTATTCTACAACTGACTGTACATGATAATCCACATACCTTTGGTGGGTACACATATCAAGGCAATATGAATGAACACGTTTGCCACTAAGAGAACTTGTAACAGCATTGTGTGGACTTTGGATCTTATCAAACGTGTCCATCCAATTGATTGGCATGTGTAATCCCAACCACCAGTCATCTGAATATCATACGCTGTCTTTGATCGGCAACTTTGATAGCCAATTTGGAAAGGCTAGATGAAAATTGACATAATGTCACTAGATTAGGATTTAGGGCACAACGTGTCATTTATAATAATAGGAGGGAAACTGCAAGTAGGCCCAAAAATCTAGGGACAAAAGGAAATATTCCCAGACATTTAAATCTCATGCATATGCACAGAAATAAAGAGAAACATGAAAAGAATGCATAGTTTAAGAAAACTGATTTACATATGATAACACTTAGATATGCCCTGGCTATCAAGTATCAATGAAAATGGTTGGCTTAAGAAAAGGTGGAAATGTATTCTATGCCCCCATATGATTAATTAATATTAACAAGAAGCCCTTATTTTTAATTTACAACTGTTGCATAATAAAATCTATCTATGCCAAATGGGTATTTAAAAAAATGCAAAATAATGCAATATCAAAATGTTTCAGTGAGTCTTTACAAAAGATCACATATAATATCAAGATTACTGAAGATAATGGCCCTGAATAAATTTATCAACAAAGGTATAGTTTATGATTCTACATAACCTTACACAAGGTGGATTGACTAAATTTGTTTGAAGTAAGTGTCTTATATTTAGGTACTGAAACTTAACAACCCACTTCTTCAATATGAAGACTCTTCACATAATAATGGACATGAACTTACTCTTTGCAAAGAATTAGATCTTCGCATATATGCCTCTGTTCCTGAGAGTTGCAAGTCTTCCTTTCTGAATTTCTGGATGAGCTCAGAGTAAAAGAAATATATAAAAAATATGGAAATAATAATAGTAACAAATAGCAATGATGATCAAATCAGATAAACCTGTTTACAAACAGGAGAAGCACTAATAAGAACATTAAAAATGACACTATAAACATTGTCAGGCAGAAACTTGAAGATGGAAAACAACTAATGAGAGAGACAGAGTAAATCAATTACTGAATTGAGCTTATAAGATGGCACTACTAATGTGTTTAAAACCAAGTAACTAATCCAAAATACCTCCAGAGTTCCCAAAAGCTGACCCAGCATTCTTTTGTTCCTATTAACCAAGCTCGGATCCTCATTCTTTGGCAATACCCTTGGAACAAGTTCTGTGGTAGGAATCTCAGAAGCCTGACATGAATAACAAGCTATAGTGTTAGGTATACAAATTTAAGCCAACAATCATCTAGAAGGTAATACATTTGCATTTACCACCATTGAAGTTCTTTGATTGCTATCTCTCCTAGACCATCCACTTTGGTGAGAATTTAAAGGCTTCCTATCACTCTGGTCCACTGCTCCAGTCCCATTAACACCTTCGCCGTTTGAATCCTGTATATTTACATCCTGTCCTGCACCAGCATCTTCAGTCAACTCCCCCTCATCAACCTTCATTCACAAACGGAGATTCAGTTAAAAACAAGCTCCAATTTCCCCTTTTCGGGGGAGGGTTCAGGAAACAACAGGGAAAGGGGCAGGCATGACACCACTAGTTTTTTTGAATTAAAAGATTATGCACACTACATTTGAATTTAGAACCCCACCCCAATTATATTCTCGTCAATTATCAACAATGAGTAGTCAGATTAAAAAACCTAATAAAAATGAGCAGACATTAATTAGTAAAAATGATATGGAAAAGGAAGCACCTTAACCACAGCAGAAGAAAGTCGACGTTTGGCAGGGGGTTGATCTTCAGAATCATTCCTGTCTCCCTGAATAATAAATTATATTGATCAATATCCTAAACTCAATTTTTTTTTTTTTGTTTAAAGTCAAATCCAGGTTATTTATCTTTCCAACTTCAGCATAGCGAGTAAAATGGTAAAGTGAAGGTAGAGAAGAAAATGGGAGCATAGCGAGTAAAACCCTAAAGAAGGGAAAGAGAGAGAGAGAGGAAGGTAAAAAGACTAACAGGACGAAGAAAGGGTCGTTGGCGAAGACCATTGGCGCGGAGAGCAGGAGCTGACAAGGCACCTCTGCGAAGCCCTCGCGGATCTCGAAGCCTCTCCGTTATCTACAAAATTAATAACCATAAGAATCGAACATATATATACATATCTATTGTGTGTGTAGAGTGAGTGAGAGAGAGAGAGATGACCTCACGCTGTTGGCGAATAAGCTCATCGATCTCGTTGCGGAGGTCCTCCTCCGTCTTCTCCACCGCAGTGCTCCCCATTGGTGTCAGCTTAGTTCTTACTCCTATACACTTCACCGCTCTATAAAACCCTCGCCACTGCACCGCTAGAGTACATTCATTCTTCTCTTTTATGCCAAGTTTTTTATTTTTACTTAATTTTCTACTTTTCGTGATTAAATAAATTTCGATTTTATTATTATTTGTTTTTGATTGAATATTTTTCGTTAAGGTTGTAATATAACGAAGTATATAGAATAAGAGAAATACTTTTTTATGTTGTAAGAAAATAATTATTTCATGTTATAGAAATAAAATTATAAGTAGGACTCACGGGTAAGAAGAGAGAGAAAAAGAGTGATGAAACTCACCTCTTTTTATGTGTGTAGGAAAATTATTTCTCTCGTATAAAATTAAATAAATATAACCCATAAAATAAATACCAACAATGTGTTGTGTTGTGTTGGCATAGCTAAAGGTCACATAAGATGAAGAATGCAAGTTCGAGATTTGAGAAGTGAATCTCTTGAAAGAGGAATTCGCCTAAACAATGAACCGGATAATAGAAATATTTTAAAAAAAGTATATATAAGAAATTAGTATTATGTATTAGTTATGTACCAAAAAAAAAAGTATTATGTGTTAGTTTAGAATATTATCTTTTTTTATTATTATATATGACAATCTTTTTTAATTTAATCTTTATTTATTATAGTAATTTTATGTGAATCTTTTACGGTAATAAATAATGGAAAAGATATGCTTGTTTATAAAGAGAGAAAAAAATTAATTAAAAATAAAAACTAGTATGATGTATGGGAATTAAAATTGATATTTTTTATTTAGTGTCATTTATAGCACATTTAAATAAATAAGTCTGAATACGTATTCCGATTACATTGATTTTAAAAATTCTAATTTTTTAAATTAAATCTTAACCATAAGTCATGTTAAATATAAAATAAATTAATTTAAACAGGTTTTATTATAAGGAAAAATAAATGTTATGTGAAAGGACATTGAAGAATTGTCTTGCTTTTTTATTTATTTTTTGTTTTTTCAAAACAACAAGTGGACCCTATCATTTATTATCTGTGTGGCATGATGGAAAATTAGTCCAGTGACGGAAGATTTGACAAACCCTTTATTATATATCTGTTGAGATTTTTATTTTTTATTTTTTTGGTGAAATTAAGGGACAATGACCATATTGCCTCTTTTTAGGCAAAATTTTACCTGATTGTCACTTCTGAAAAAAAAAATTACCAAAATGTCACGCCTGAATCCCGCTTGTCTGACAAGCGGGAATGGACTGGACACGTGTCAGCGTCTGAATGGTCAACCATTCTCGCTGGGCCGCCCAGCTAGAATGACAGAATGCTGACACGTGGCAAAAGCACAGGCATGAATGCAGTAAGGTGGAAGGAGTCGAAAGCAGCAGTTCCAGTGTAGAGTCTCCCATGTCAGTCAACCCTTCTACTCAAACAAAGAGTCGACATAAACCAAAGGCAACTAAGTACTTAACTCACTCAAGCGCACAGTCCTCAAACCATGTCAAGTTATTTCCACATGCTACACACAATTGACATCTTCTAAACGCATATATAACTGTTATTTTAAGATGGGAATAATATTTATTGATTTCTTTCAATCTATAAGGAATTTTAAAGCCCTCTAAATATTTCTTTCAAATTCAAAATTTAGCTATTTCACTTCACCAGAAGTTCCTCTATAAGGAATTCTTCATTCTAATTTAATTACCAAACTTATACAAATAAAGGCTAATGTACTCCCAAGTCCCAACCTGCCCTCTCTGTGGACGTCACGTGACATGTTTATATATAGGAGTAATAAAAACAAATTAACAAAATAAAACAACTTTTAGAAAACTTATACTTAACAGGCCAGCAACATCAATGTTAATGGTCCGTGGGCCTTATTCAGGCCCAATGGGGCCTCTTCCCACTACAAGATAAGCACTTCACTCCATTTAAATGCACATTACTGCTGAGCCACTGTCCGCGTCACCTTTTCTGGAATTTACACGTAATAGCCTATAAAAGGCAACCGAAAAAAGTAAAACTTAATTGGTTAGCTAAATGACCAGATAAAAAGGACGAGGCACTTGAAGAAAATGATTTAAAAGATTACTTTTCTACTTCAAAACATTCATGAAAATTAACAAATCCATCAGTAGAGATTGATTCCATCATTCCATGTATAAACATGCGATAGTAAGAAAAATATAGTCAATGGCCCCGCAATATCTCTAACTCCTCGTACATTATTTTACTCAGGGGGCGTTTGATTGATGAGAAATATTTTGAATAGTAGGAAAATGTAATTAATAGGGAAGTGGTTGGAAAGTGAGTTTGGTAAGAAAATGTAAAAAAAGTTATTTGGTTGAGTAAAAATTTACCAGGAAAATTATGTGAAATTCTTGAATGTGTGTTTGGTTGAAGATAAAATATTAATGGGTAAATTTAGTAAAATTACAAGATAACCCTCCGACTAAATAACCCTTTTATTTTTACAAACTTATTGAGGGGCAAATTAGTCACCCAATTATTCAACTTTTTTACTTCTCCAAATTTTTCCCACAATACCACCCGCCAAGAAGCTATCTTCAACAGTGTTTTTTGACATAAATCACATGCAATCCGCGAAAGATGGGGAACTCACTTAGGGGGATATATTCCATGAATCAGCGAAACAAACGTGGTATTATCAGAATCCATGAATCACTTACCCATCAAACTTGAGAGAAGTCCCGAAACAAACGCCCCTTAGTTCTTTGAATCAAATGTATGATAATCAAAGAGTATCCTCTTGGCAAGGCACTCTTTTGATTGATAAATCAATTGTACTACTGTTCTTGGCAGGTACTTCCCTAAACCAGCTAATGGCTCTTCTATAGACGAGTATTCCTCCGACTTAGGTTTTAAATACTTTCTAAAGGAAATGAAATATCAATTACCAATTATGCAAAAATCTAAATTACATAAGGCCCTAAAAGATTATTAAAAATTGAAAATGAATCTTAATTAGGTAACTATCTTTTAAAAAAATATAAAATTTTCAAAAAAAAAAATCTTATTAAGATAAAATTCCTAAAAAAATAAGGAAAAATATCAATATTCTAAATAATATAATTATCATCAAATCCATAAATAATAAATAAAACAAAAAAAAAATCTTCATATATTTTGCTTCAACTATGTACTACACCTCATTTACACACTTAGATTCACAAGATTATAGAGATTTGAATGTTCTTGTATTAAAATACATTCTCTGTAAAAGATTAAGCACATAAATACGAGTCACATTTTGAACATATATTATTATTAAAGTTATGCCTAGATTTGAATAGTTAGGCGCGCTATACATGCAGAGGGGCGTTGTGGCAAGTGCATTAAATCATGAAGGGGAGTGGGGACTATCAAATTGTAAAATAGAGAGATATATATTGCAAACACCATCAAAGAGAAATTGTTAAATTAATGAACCAAATTAAGTTTCATTAAGTAATACCAATAATATACTGAATAATAGCTTATTAACCTTTGGTACCACATGGGTTTACACCATTAGGCAGCAAGCGGCGCCGCAGCCAATTCTCATGTGCATTAGGTTCACCTACTTGTTCACATATTATATCCATGAAAAATAAAATATTTTTCTCATGTTGACTTCAGCATATAATACCGAGTCTTGACGTGAATCTTGAAACGTCTATGACAGAAATAATAATAATAATAATAATAATAATAATTATTATTATTATTATTATTATTATTATTATTGCCAATCTAATGTGCCATATGTCAGATCATTATCTTTATCCATATGAAATAGAAATAGTTTGTGTAACTTTTGCACCGCGAGTTGCGGCAAATTGCTTCTGTACCACATGGTATATATAAAAAAATGACATCTGCAACCAAGCAACATTCTTCGGCTGCTACGAAATGTAAAACATAAAACTAGACCTAGAAAAAAGGAAAAATGACAACAGAAGCTTTAGTAATTAGAGCAAGAGCTTGAGGGAACCTTGGACCAAATTCAATAACCAATTATATTCATTTATGCAATTGCCAGCGTTTACTAAGACAAATCAGGCTTTATTTTTTTAATTGGTGATTATTAAAATACATGTATCGTGGAAGGTAATGGATCAAGAGGATAATTAAAAAAATAAAAAATAAAAATGCAAGTGTATAACAAGATCATAGACACACAAGTTGAGATATTTTTGGGCTTTGTGAGGTCTTGTAGTTAGACAAATTCAAGATCTCTCCCAAAGGTTTTCTTTTATTCGTATGAGATTTCGTACGGGGCTCATACTCCATGATAGCAGATCAATGATGTCAAAATTAACTCTATTTAATCATCCAAGTCGTACTAGTTTTTTAATCTAGTTCCGCTTAAAAATTTATTTAGGTGAACCCTGTTTCTCCATTAGCAGACACATACACGAGTGCCCCCTTCAAATTTCAATACTCAGGTTCTTTGTCCACTACAAAATAACAAATGTTGTTCATGCCCTATATTTGTATGTTAATTATATATATGCCTTGACAAACAAAGTAACGTTAAGCATGCTGCATTTTGTGCTAGGAAAGTGCAATTGCACGGACTATTGAAGATCATCAACCTCTTCTAACTAGGCACGTGCATGCGCCCTAAAGTTAACGAAGAAAAGTTAGTATTATTTTCTAGTGTGTGGGGCTAGAGCACGATGGCATCTATTAAACAATTTGTTAGACGGGTTAATTAAGTAGTCTAATAGTATGAAAATGCCTATGTTTAATGCTAATAATGTCAAACGATTGAAGTGATGATTCCGCTAGGCCCGCTCTTTATTTTTTTTTTGCACAGTGGTTGGAGATTTTTTTTTGGATAAACTAAGGTATCCTCCGCAAAGGCAATTTTTGTGTGTGGAGATTTTGACAGATCTAGGATTAAGGTTTTAAACTTTCCTAAATAGAGTATTGAGAAAGATCAAACACATGCGCTTACCTCACTCTCATAATGCGTCAACTGATTTATCATCATTTAGTGTATTGGCCGGTGATTTAAAACCTTGATTTGTTTCCTAGTTACTCAAAAGGGTAAGTAAAGGGATCAATGACCCATTACTATTCGAATGAGACTAATAACATCCTAACTATGGTTATTCTTGTCTTTTGGTCATTGTGAGGGCTCTCATTATGAAATTGTAGAGTTCCCACTGCCCTATATATTTATTAAAATAAAATAAAAATACTAGTAAACTTATTAATTTAATTGGGAATTGAGACTTCTCATTAAGAACCCAATAAAAGTCAAATCTTAGATGCGTCCTTTGTGTGCATAAGAGTACTTCTTTGAGACGAGGGAATTGACTTTGGTGCCTCAAAAGTAGCATTTATATCTACAGAGAGGACAAAGAGAGAGATTCTTCAGTTCTCAACCTTGTCCTCAATGGGAAGAGGAGAAGAACACACAAAGATAGAAATTGGTCTCTCTTTGCATATAGATCATGCCAATAATCGAAAAGAAGAAGCAAATTCAGATGGGCAAGAAGAAGAGGACGTGGAAGAAATGACGACACAGATACAGGATAAGGAAGAAGCTACAGACGCCACAACTGATCATGAAATAGAAGATCATGCATCAGTACCTGAAATATCGTTGCAAGAGAACAACAATGCACGTGAGGTAAAATTTTCATTGATGGAACAACACAAAATCATCCCCATTACTCTCTTTGTTGATGATAATGTTGTTTGTGAAAATTACCAACAGTTAATTAAAATTGTATTATTGTCATATATGATGTCCTTTCCCTCTTAATTTCTTCTCATGTTGGCTATTATTGCTTTTATATATACAAGATATGTGTTAACTCTTGAAGCACAAATCTTGATATATATAAACTTCTAATTGCTTGTATGTGATATATATGCTACTTGTTTAGAAGTCATTTAAAAGTGTATGATTTTCAAGCAGTTGAATGTTTTACAAATGGAGATGGATCGCGTAAAAGAGGAAAATAAAGATCTGAGGAAAGTGATGGAACAAACAATGAAAGACTACTGTGATCTACAAATGAAATTTGCTGTCATTGATCAAGAGAACAATAAAAGAAAGGTAAATCCGATTTTGTTTTAATTTTTTTTATTTTTCCTTTATAATCTAATTAATCTTCATCGTATTTTGATCCTTATTTTAAATTATCTAATAGTAGATCTCATATATAGGATCTCTCACTTCAAGATAACGCAAACACGAGCAGTGAAGGACCACCACCGACGATTCCTGAGATCTTTGATAACAAAATTCAAGCATCTCCATCCCCAAGAAAAAGTACTGATGATAATAGTATTAACGATAATGAATTGAGTTTATCACTAAGGTTGAGGACAAGCACAAGTCAACAAGAAAAGGAGGTAAATAAAGAAGAAGAACTATCAAGTTTTGCATCAGCGCAGAATAACAAGTTACGAAGGACTCATGACTTGTCTGGTATTAATACGCATGCTGCTTCTTCCCCTCATAATAGAAAAGCTAGGGTTTCAGTCAGAGCTAGATGTGAGGACGCCAAAGTGAGTTCAACTTCAACTTCAATCTATGTATCTCTGTACCCATCAAGATTGGTTTATGATTTCATTAACATTAATTATATATATTAAGAGCTAATATATCAAGTTTTTTGTGATATATATATAGATGAATGATGGGTGCCAATGGAGAAAATATGGCCAAAAAATTGCAAAAGGAAATCCTTGCCCACGAGCATATTATCGTTGCACTGTAGCCCCAGGATGCCCCGTTAGGAAACAGGTAAAAAAAAAATTGTGCACTCTTTATTTCAGTCGTATTAATAGTTTGAAATCAATCCTGGATTTATTTATTTTTTTCAACTAAATTATTACGTGTGACAACTAAATTTATACCGGGCAGGATATTCTTATACCGATGTGTAAAAGTTAGAAGTCTTACGCTCAATCTTAATCATTGATCCACTTGTATCTAATGGCTCACACATTACTAAAAAATTAGAGCCTTTAGACATAAGTGGAATCCACGGACAAGATTAAGAGTATAACTTACACTGGTGTAAAATGATCCTAATCTAAAGTATAACTTATACTGGTGTAAAATAATTCTATATATATATATATATATATATATATATATATATATATATATGAGGTAGGATCCTTTGATACCAGTGTCAAATTTCAATTTTGACACCTCATCTGAGAGTCGTTAGATCAAAAAAGATCAACGACTCTGATTTGCAAGCATGTGACACCATTGATCTTTTTTGATCTAACGGCTCTCAAATGAGGTGTCAAAATTAAAATTTGACACCCGTGTCAAAAGATCCTACCTCTATATATATATATATATATATATTTAGGGTTATATTTATCTTATTTTATATGAGAGAAATAATTTTTTTACACATATAAAAAAGAGGTAAGTCCCACCACTCTTTTTTTTTCTCTCCTTTTATGTGAGTCTCATTTGTAATTTTATTTCTGCAATACTGCAACATGACAAAAATATTTACCATATGTTTAGGTGCAAAGGTGCATGGATGACATGTCGATACTAATCACTACCTATGAAGGAACACATAATCATCCACTTCCTGTGGGTGCAACTGCTATGGCTTCTACAGCTTCTGCAGGTGCTTCTTTTACGTTGCTAGATTCAGATAACACATCAAGTTTCACCCAACCTTCTTTTCCTTACAAAAGCTTCCAGCAGCATCACCCTTTAGATCCATCTTCCAATATTAGAAGCATGAACCCTAATGACCCCACCAAAGGGATTGTTCTTGATCTCACTAGTAATAATATCCATGAGCCACTCCGTTTTCATAGTGGTAGCTCCTCCAATGTGACAGCACAACAGCGTTTTCCTTGGATGCAAAATAAACACCAGAGTGGTATAAATAGTACTCTTGCAATGAACAACTTTCAGAGCCTTATTAGACCAGTGGATCATGAGAAGGTTTTGAAAGCAGAAGAACCTAATTATCTGGTAGCTGATAATGTTTCTGCAATTGCCTCGGATCCTAAGTTCAGGGTTGCAGTTGCAGCTGCCATAACATCACTATTCAATAAAGAAAGCCACGTTACTCATACTGAAGAGACATCTTTTGGTCCAAAGAGTGGACAAAATGGAAGCTCTAGCAGCAGCAATAATTGGATCATAGAATCTCTTTCGAGAAATGGTAAGCACACTTGATATTTGTTCACCTTGGAGAATTAATAAGTTTATGTTTGAAGATAAGGGTGAAGGTTATACAACATAATATATATTATGTACAATATGCATGTACGGTTTTCCAGTAAAACTTCCCAAAGCATTACTGGATAGGTTCTTCTGTTTCTTTGTAATTTGGCATTGTTGCTGATATATAGTTATGAAAAAAGATTGTGTGATAAGTTGTAGGGCTCAGTTAATAAAGTCAAGGAAATAATTTCCCCCTTTTTCTGGGGGTCTGAGTTTTTCCATTATAAAATGTTTTTTTTTTTTTTTCGTGAGAACTAGTTCTTATAAAATATATTGGATAAAAGCTTGATTTAATTGCATTGATACGCTAACTGCAAGTGCATACATCAATTGTGCTTGTTTTGTATCTATTTCTGATACATAATTTTGTCATATTGTGCCCATTTGTGTTTTGATAATCTTTGAATATATCAGTTATTTTTGCCACGTTTTAAAATTTTGAATCTAAAAAAAACAATTATTTAATGAATGATTCTTTGAAAACATAAATCTTAACATAAAAATTATTCGGTTATCGTACTTAGGTAAGTTATTTGAGAGATTTCAAAACTCCTTTATATACTCTCCTTTCATATTTTTATAAAAGATAAATAGATCACGTGCATGTCAAAACATTTGTGTATAAAGTAGTAGTCTTTAGATTATACATTAGTCTTATTTAATTAAGTACTCAAAGTGAAATAAAAAACATAAAAAATGCTTAATATTTATTGTGATTATGTATAAGAGAAATGTTAAAAACATACTTTTTGACATTCGAAATTTTATGCGGGTCCAAATTAATTAATGTGGTCAGCATGAAATTTCACACAATAATAAAAAAGTATATCGAAAAAAATGTATTGTTAGCATTCCTTTTATATATTATACTGTGAATAGTGATTAGTTATTTAGTTAAAAGGATAATAAGGCATTAATTAATCAAGCAGTCAAATAATAATTCTCTATAAACTTTCTCTTATGTTTGTGACGCTTTTGTGTACTGCACTACTGTATACTTTATCCAAGCTAACCTCTTTGTATGACTATATACAAAATTTTTTAACGAAGTATAGATTACAGGAAATTGCTAAAACAGGTTTCTTTTCCTAAAAAGATTTTTATCAATTTAAGCCACTAGGGTTATGGTGACTGGTGAGGAATGTGGGTAGTGATGAAGTTGTGTGTTCAATTTCTCAATGTATCAAAATAAAAGCATTTCACAACTAGGGCCGAGCCAAAAAACAAACCAATGTAATTTTTATTTTTTTTAAGTTGATCAGGAAAGGAGTAAAGTTTATAACAGAATAATTAATAATATTTCAAGTCTATTTAGTGCCTGTTTGGTGTTATGGATAAGGCATGATAATATAAGTTTATATTATATGTTATGACATTTTAATCGTTTGTTGCAATCATTGTATAGTATAAATATATATGACAGAATTCCTTAATCGGCCTGGGGGTGGATTAGACCTGATAAGAGGTCGATATATAATATTAACCCCTTCCCATCTTTTGTTTTCTCATTCTAACCCTTTCCCATTGCACGACAGTCCCTAGCATTTTCCAAGCCTATCAACGGAATAAACTTCTCTCCCGTTTGGTTACTGAACAAATGAAGAAAAATATCCTACTATTAAAAAACATAAAAATAGAAGAAAAAAAAGACACGACCCAAATTCAAAAAAATTCTCTTTTTTTCATTTTCCCACTAAATAATGAATAAAAATTAGAATTGGGTCAAGTGGTGTGAGCCTTTAAATAGAGGATCAATAAGAGTGCACACGGGGATACTAATTTTCTCATAAACCAAACAACAATTCCTCATAAGAAGATGATCGCAGTGAGGTGATTATGACATTCTAAAGATGAAAGAAGCCGAGAAAAATAATTGAAAGAGTTCGATTAAAGAAAAAAGGGATCAAAGAACACAGTATGCTACAAGGAATGTGTAAAATGGAAGAGAAGAAGAGCGCATTTATAAGCTCATGTGTTTTCAAGAATTTATATATTTATATATATTTTATTTTTCAAATGATATAGTGTAATTAGTAATATTTAAAAAAATGATTAATAAACTGCATATTGTAAAGAGCAGGAAGTTTGAAATAAAACATTTTAGTGTGATAGTAACGGTGAACTTTTAAAAAAAAAAAAATATTGAAGATTTTTATTTCTAAGTAAATTAAAATATTTTTTGAATATATTGATCTATAAATTTTCATAAAAATTAATAATATATAATATATTTGGAAGGATTATATAAATTCTTCATTAAAGGATATTTTTATTAAAAATATTTGTTTTTATCCTATCTAAATCCAATAATAACAAAAATAATCGATCATTAGATTATAAGAAAAATTGATTGTAAATATAACTGCTGCACTCATAATAGTTCAAAACTTTTCTCTAGTGTGTGACCGCGTTGATTGAACTAACATGTTGGGTCGGCTAATAATACATAAAAATTAAAACATAATTAGATCCTTAACGTTTCTTATTTGTCTCTTCGAAACTAAAGAACACAATTAATTGTCAAATAGAAAGGAATATCCAGCTATTTAAAAACACTATTTAAGGATTGACCCAGGTTTTATTTTTACATAAGTAATATTTGATGTGAAAATAGAATTAAACAGAAATTAATTTAATGATTCAATTCAGTTCAGTTTTTTTTAAATTTCATCCTTTTAATAAATTTGAATATATCACTTTTTAATTTTATTTAGTTTAAAAATACAATAAATTTTAAGGGCATGTTATGTATCAAAAAAAAGAAAGACATGTTTGATGTACAAGATATAATAAGATCTATAATATAAGACCTGATTGTATAAGGTTTTATTAAATTTTAATATTATCCAGTGTTTGGCATAATATTATATAAGATAATGTATTATATAAGATAATACTATATAATATTTGATAATGCACTGTATAATATTATATCAAAATTAAATTAACTATTACAAAATAGCATTAAATGAAATCGTTGATTTAATTTTGATACAATAATAACAAAAATGGTTATAATAGGTTGTGTTTAATGTTTCTTATATTGTAGGAGATAAATTTAATTCTTGCACACGTAAAAGTGTGTAGAGCCCATGTGAGAAGAAGAGAGAGAAAAAAAAAATATGAATCTTACGTATTTTTTTATATGTGTAGAAGATAAATTTATCTCCTATAAAATGAGAACCATTAACCCCTAAGAGATTATAAGAGAAAAATGATTACAAATATAATAATCGTTTTTTTTTTTAAACTTGTGCACTTTCCTACAATTTTCGTATGATATACTACCAATAACTTCACATGACAATAATATGCTACAGAAGTCGACTGATTTATTATGTATCATGCATGCGCTTAGCTTAACAAAATAAAAATCCAAAACCCAAAGACAATGAACTGCAATGCTTTTTAGAGTTGATCATCCATTTAGAACCTCCTCTTTTGTCTAACGTTCTAACTTACATTGAAATTTTTTTTTTTTATTCCATTGCTTAGATAAGTCACATGTCAGTTTAGATATTCATTTAAGAATTCTTTTATATTATATTCATTTTGTTACAATTGCTAAGGACAAGATCTTGATGGAGCTGGTCTATAAAACAATAACTGAGGTTCCCTTGCTAAGTTTGAAGCACTTTAATCTTCAACGCTGATGTACATAAACAAGTTGTTATACTCATGGATTGAATTACATGCCAAATTAAATTAAGAAACCAAAGATAAGTGTGAGCGGCCAATTTGCCACTTGTGAAAAAAAAAAAAAAGATAACTTGAATTCTTCTATTTTATTGTCACAAACATTTTATGTGCAAAGTAGAAACATGAATGTTGAATGTATGTGGATAAGAGCTTTTGATGTGCTATATTTAATTGATTATGACGATCAAAATGTATTTTGCTATTAATTAAGATGACACTGATGTATGAATAACACTTAAAAAAGGATAGAACATGAGAGATAATTAAAGTGATGGTGATCATGACAATGAAGAACATAGTGTACATAAACCACCCTAATTGCGGTAAACATGATCATGATCATGCCATATCATGAGATTTTAATGCCTTTATGCACATAAAATGTATATTCTTTATCATGAAATTTTGATGTCCTATGCATATAAAAGAGACATTATGTATCTTGAATGATGGCAGTCTCTGTCCTTATGCACAATTGCTATTAGTATTGCACTAGTTAACAAAAGTAGTGAAATTTTATATAATTAACAAACAATTTTTAATTTTTTTTTATTAAATTTTTGTTATCTTTACTTTAAAAATAGTTTTTAGCTTAAAAAAAAATGTGTCAATTGAGTTCTAAGTAAAATAGCCTTAGATATCTTGTAGCTACTGTATGGTTCACCCGGGTAGACAATTGACCAGAAAACCAACAAGTACTAAAAGAATATTAGTACTCTACTTTCAATCTCATCTGCAGAAAAGTAATGCGGAGAACTAGCCAAAAGTGTGTCTGTCTTCTAATTCGGTGACGCATGGCGGGACTCCTCTGCCACTCTATAAATGGAGGCTAGATAAATGTCTTCATTTAATAAAATTCAAACAAAAGAAATTTTGTAATAGGATATATAAGTGTGGATGTTGCAAATAGGGTTCTGGTATTTTTTTCATCCTTGCATTGACCATTACTGCAATCCTTGGATGAAGTTGTATCAACTCCAACATCGCAATGTATTCCTTTCTCAGAAAGTGGAGGCAACTTGTCAGTCAGACTTCCATTACCACTGCAAGCCAGAGTCTTTTGAGAATTGACTTTGTCCAGTGTGTTGTTGCTTTTAGACACTCCTGCTTTATTGCTATGCCATTTTGACAGCTTTTGAAACGCATTTGGATGTCTCCAGGCATTTGAACTAGAATTTTGGCTTGTGTTCACACTGGAGTCACCAGATAGTTCAGAATTACGTTGAGTGTTGGCTACATTCCAATTCCAGACG